TATAAAGAAGGGCTTTTGAGAGATGAAATTGAAACTAAGACTAAGAGTGGATAAAGTGGACGCTGACATTAATCTTCTAACAACTCATGACAGCCCGTATACATGTATATGAAATCTTATGAGACATTGTATGTCAGTTGAAAGAATGCAAGTATGTACACCATTAGGCCAAATAAAAAACAAAACATGTTTAGCGTCCTTCCTTTTTTTCTCTAAGGTTGGGCGATTTTTTTCAAGCAGGCTGCCAGCTTTTATATTTTATTTTTTTCTGAAAAAGATCATTTTAGCAGTAGGTTCTTCATGTTTTTTCTTTTAAAAAAATAGGAGGGGCCTCAAAAAAAGGAAGCAAGAGGGGATGCTAGACATGATTATCTTTCCCTGCCTTAGTTGCTATGTCAGTCAAGTCTCTGACAAACTGTAGAGATATCACATTCAGCAAGAACCCTTGAGGTAAAGTCATGCATTTAACATACACTGTACAAGTGTGTAGTGAAACATTGCTCTGTGTAACCATAGTCAAATTCCTAATAACATCACTCCCAATAAGTACATGTACATTGTACCTAACACTGAAATACGAAGTTGCAAACCATCCAGAGACTCCTAATAAATTGCGTTACTGACTAATTAATTATATCATTACAAATTTGTATTCTCAGTTTTCTTTATGGATAACAGATTTTCTTATAAAACTGAAGATATGGCGTATTTATTCAATACTGAATGAAGGCCATTAAACTATTACCAACAACAACAAGAACAACCTAACACTGACCTTAAACCTGCATGTAATCCAAACCCCTAATCTCCTCCAAACCCTGTACATTACACCATATCTTTGACAAAATAAAGCTTGTACATAGCCAATGTTGTCAGAGTATGCGTGGGATCAGTGTTCACTCATCTCCTTGCACAATTATATGAGTGAATGTGGATGCGATGTACATCTACATTAACATGGATCTGCACAATACAGCTAGCACATTAGTGTGTCAGTTCGCATGACACAGAAAGAGTTTCAGTACGTACATGTGCTCTGTATTGCACGTCAATCAATTTTAGCATCCAGCTAAAAAGCTCTTCCATTGTGCACTCCATCAATTTCTTTGCCCTTCACTCTTAATTTATGAAATATCTAAAAGCAGTATCAACCGGGAAGCATTTTGCAACAACCGTGATGTGAGTGGATCAGTTGCATGTTGTTTGCATATTAATATAGTGTACATTGGCCTTCATTGTCATGCTGTTTGTAAAATTTGTACAACTGAAAACCAAAAACGGCCCATTTTTATGGTTCATGTCAACCATGTAGGACTACATGTTGGTTTAAGTGGTTTTGGAATTGACTGTGCCACAATACGCAATTAATTATAAGTAATAGCCAGGGAGTAAAACCGTTTGGCCATTTAAAAAAAAAAAAAAAAAAAATCATGTTTAGCGTCCCTGTCCGCTTCCTTTTTTTGAGGCTGCCTGCTTTTTTAATAAAAACATGAAAAACATCTGAAATGATCATTTTCTGATTAAAATATTAAATGCTGGCGGCCATCTTGAAAAATAGCCTGACTGGCTGAAGCGGAAAATGTACCGAGCAGCCATTTTGAAGAAAGAAAAAAGGTCCTCCTCCTTCCCATTTGTCAAAAAGGCAAGTTTTTAAACCTTTTTTGTTTTTAAATGGCCCACCAGTATATATATCTTACAGTTTCACGTGTGTGTGTGTTCAGACGGCCTGACATTCCATAAATATATCTGTCTATTGCATCATAGATTGTGATGTTTGAGACTACATGTACATGTACATTCGGGACAACTGCCCATATACTGTAGGCCTGTCTTCATAAGCTCATCAGAGTTTGCCAAATAACCAGCTATTTTAACTATCCTGATCGCAAATTACCCAGTTAATTTGCGTCTTGATCAGCCTGCAGTTGCAATTAACGGGCTAATTGATCAAGAAAATTTTCTGAGAAATCTTGGGTCTTTTTTCCAAATATCCAGCTATTTGAGAAATGGCGAGCTAATTTGCACGGATAGAAAATATATAAAAGAGATCAAGTTTAAAGAAGTTTTAAATATGTAATGAAAATCTGTTAATATTGGAAGTTTTCAACATGTTGCCAAATTGAGGACTTTTAGATTTTCCCTTTAAAATTTCCTTGCATTGAGCACTCATGGATTTCACAGATTTTCATTACAAATTTGAAAATGGTTTACCGGTACATTGTATCTCTTCTCTATATTTTATGTAAATTGTCAGACTCAGACACATGAATTTTCATTAGAATCTTTTTTTTTACACCAAAAGAAAATAAAAGAAAAAGTGTTGCCAATTTTAAGAAGAAAAGCTGACAACTAAACCTCTCAAAGGGGTAGTTCAGGGAATGAGTGAAAATGCCAAAAAGGCCTTTTTTTGTAAAATTAGGTATGACCTTTATTTGGCCGCAGTTTGTGTCTCTAGTGCCTTTCCTAGACTGCACGGTCTGGATGGGGTAAGTGGCAAGGAAATTGGCAAGCTATGGCTGCCTATGATGCAAGAAGATGTGTATTGCATGGGAAATTAGCATTTTCCTTTTGATGGAGAATATTGTAGGTATAGAATAGAATAGGATGGATTAGATTTAGGAGCCTTATATTTTTGTTGTTGACAACATTGGACTGCAAAGTACATGTACATCCTTAGCCCCGTCTTATAAAGAGTTGCGATTGATTTGGATCAGACTTCAAAGTAACAACTTCGCAAGTATCCCAATCAATCGCAAGTCTTCCAATCAATCGCAAGTTTGCTTATGTACATAGTTGTGATTGATATCAATTGCCAATAATTTGCGATTGATATCAACTCTTTATAAGACAGGGCTCTGTTGCATTTGGAAGTATGATTTTCAACACTGTATGTGACTGGTCTCACATTGGAGATGAAAATGAAGCAAAATTACAATTGCAGATTTTCTTTTTCTTTCTTATTTAAAGCTACGGTCACAAAGGTTCGCACGAACGATGTGTTCATACAAATCTCCCTGTTTTTCCAGGGTCTTCCCAAATTTCCATGGTATGAAAATCGTTCGTACGGCGCTAGTAGCAGTTTGTAATGGCATTTGTGACTGAGGCTTAAAACAAACTGGACTCTGAAACCCTGAAAATGTTGATGACTGGCATGAACACAGTTTCATTATGTTTCAGTATGTTTGATTTTGTTTGTTTGCTTTTGCTCCTCTCCCTTCTCTTCTTCCGTCATTAAAGATACTATGTCCCTTTTGCAGCGAACATCAAATTATGTAGAACTTGTGGGAATTATGAATATGTCATGTATGTCCAATCTGTGAAATTTAAACGTTAGCAGTGTCCTAATATTCAAATTATGCAAGGAAACATGTTTACTTGGTAGACTTCACTGTCAGACACTATAGAGTGACTGACTGGCTTTTTTTCTTCTTTAGTAATAACATACATAAAATGAGTTGTAAAGGGTACATGAGCATTTGTCTACATCAATAACCCATTTCTTGTAATGGCCAAAATTAAGCTGATTGAATCTTTGCGTAGCATAAAATTTGCAAACATTCGGTACAATGGTCTGATAATCCAGACTATTACTTACTGGCTCTATAGCTCTTAAGTCGATTCGACAACTAATAGTCGTTATTTTCCCACTTAAAGACATTTTCAATCCCCCCCTTTTTTAGGGAAGTTCTAAATTAGTATTATCTTTCAAATGCCGTTGGAATTTAACCTTTTCATTTTTTGGGCCTGCAAATGGGACATAGTACCTTAAACCAACAAAGCAAGTAAAGTCAAATATCACCTTTTATGTTACTTGCTCCCAGGTAAAATGACACACGTTTTTCATGTACTGTGTGAAGAAGAAAAAAATCTTAATTATCTTGTTGATATGTAAAACTTGCCTTTAGTAATACAATTTCATAACAATTTGTCTCTTCTTCGAAATGCTTTTATGACATATGGGTAGAACTGCACGTCATAAATGATAGAATCAGTTAGGAGGAAATTGCACAATACACAGCTTAAGGAAATACATACACATGTATGATACTGTAACTTGTAAGCACACACGATTTAAGAGCACATTGTGTGGTTATTGCAATATCATCTAAAATATGTAATGCATGCCTGTACATTCACATGTGATAACGTTGAATTCCTGGAGTAGCATTATTGGCATTTACAATATTCTATTGGTTAGGCAATGAAAGAACATTTACATGTAGGCCTAATGCATTAGGTATACTTCCTCCCTCTGCATTTATTTGTGAAGTGAAGTTGTATCGTCGTGTTGGGGAACTAAATTACATGTAGTACTGCAGCTATGTAACATATTGTGTACATTTAATATATTGGGATAGGCATGAGTCTGCAGATTGTTGCATCTTGTACATGCTCTTATATACATTGTACATGTACATGTACTGAACAGTGTGTGCGATACAAATGTGTGCATCTTTGGTTCATGAACATTACCACCATTTATGTATACAGGGATGGGTAAGCCTGCAGAATTTTGCATCCTGTACATGCTCTTGTGATTTGATTTGATTTGATACAAATACATTTATTTAATAAGAAACCTGGTTCATGCACATTACCCACCAATATAAATGTATTTTAATGTATTATTTATATCATGATCATTATTACAACTTCTGCTATTGTTGTTTTTATTAATTTGTTATTGCCTTAATATTTTATTATTATTATTATCATTATTAATATTATCATTATTAATCTATTATTATTATCATTATTATTATTACTTGTATATTGTCATTATTATTTTACTTCATAATTCTCGTTCGAGTATGAGAACCCGCTCGCGCATGCGCAGATCATTATCGTTCCGCAATTTTTCTTAGTGCGAAACACTAGGATATCGTAGCGCAGAATCCATCGAAATCTCCACAATCGGCCGTTATTTGATTTATATTTGGACATAAAATTATTGTCAGTATTATCATTCTTATTCCACTCATCCTATCTAATTCATTCAGAGCTCACTACTGAGATGGTGACACCGGGTGCAGTCTTTCCTATTGGCACTACAACAGGCATCATATCTCATTGGACATAACCACAGAACACAGCCAGAAAACTTTGCCAAGACAATCCCCTGAGAACGCCCGCCGCAGAGCATCATGACTCTGGGGATGAAAGGCACACCCACTGGGGCAGGGGACACCGCACCCGAGGCCACACCCGTTGTTCCGCCACAGCCATCACCACCACAGCAAGCAGGCAGCCAGGTAAGTCCGAATGAAAACATTGCTCTTTATTTTTCTTTCTCACTCTCTTGGGTTATAGGGTGTCTTCCATAGCAAATGCATGTCTCATGGGTACCCAGATGTCCTCCTGGCTATAAGCCTGCTTCTGTTTATGTACTTGCTTTCCTAGAAGTTTTGGGATAAATGAAATCATCATAGAGGTGTCATGGTCGAGTGGTTAAGTCGCCGGACTGTCAATCACAAGGTCCGCGGTTCGAGACCCGCCACGGCACTAATGTCCTTTGACAAGACATTGATTTACATTTGCCACACTCAACCCAGGTGCTGTAAGTGGGTACCTGGCAGGAATTAATTCTTTGAAATGCTAGAGCGCTGTAATGGCTGCACAGCTAAAGCTGGGGTAGCGCTATATAAAAACTGAATATTATTGTTATTATTGTTATTAGTATTATTACTATAAAATGAGCTATAATATTGGTTATCAAGGCAAAATATAGTTTGAAGCATGTAATAATAATGACCCATCTTCTTGACCTTTTTCTACCGCAAGCAGCCACCTGAGCCGACAGAAGGAGGTAGCGACGGGGGTGATGAGAACACAGATATGGAGGAGCCTCCATTCCCTGCTGAATCGTTGAATCGGCTGGATGAGATGATCAACAAACCAAGATGGGTTATCCCTGTCCTGCCCAAGGGAGAATTGGAAGTTCTTCTAGAGGCTGCCATCGAGCTCAGCAAGAAAAGTGAGTAGTCAGTTTATCCTCAATCTTAAAGATGAACTTGAGTTCTGGTAAAAAAAGAAAAATGATTTCTCTCAGAATCAAATGAAACTTACACTGAATGTTCAAGATTACAAATAAATGTCATTTGCCAAACAATTTTGGTAGAAAATGTATACTGGCTGAGTATTGAGCATATAGAAAGATAAGGAAATCAAGGTAGGTAACCCGACACCATTTGTGTAGTACCATTTACATCTTTCTGTGTACAGTGCTTGTTACTTTACCAAGACTGGGCCAAATTTATTATGATTTTGATGACTCCAGAACCTTGCAGTACACACCAATACGTATATGCTAAATGATCAACCTTTTCTGGTCGATTCCACACCGTTTCTTTCACAATGCAATCGCATGACCAGAACTCAACTTTATCTTTAACCACCAAAAGGCCAGATTATTTTGGTGCTCTCTCACAGAAAGGAAGGGGGGGGGGATGGGGCTGACACCATCCCTCACCAGATCTCGACAATAAATAGCAAAATTATCTGAAACATTGCTTGTACCTAATGCATCTTGTCAAGTTTCATATTTGTATCTTAAACAGTTTCGAAATTATTGCTCACTCATTATTTAGATTATTATTATGACAGACTCTAAAAGAATTTGCACTGCATATTTCATATTTATAACTGAAGAGTGCCTGCCAAATATTTGTCTCATTGCTCAGTAATAATCAAGATAAACAATGCACTCCATGAAACGTCAGGGCTATATCCAGGCCTCATATGTTGCCTATCTACATGCTGTCCCATGTTCAGGCCTCAGGGTATGTGCTTTTTGCCAAGTTTTTAATGTTTTGTTAACATTTGACAGGCCTAAATGTTACTACAGTATTTTATAAGTCATATTACAATAATATTGAATCCTTATTACATGTAAGTAAATCATTGGAATGTCACCACTTCTCTTTTACTTCCAGATCTGGATATACGCAGTGAATCATGCCAGAGGTTCTTCAGAGATGGGCTAACAATCTCCTTCACCAAAATCCTCACAGACGAAGCTGTCAGTGGATGGAAGTTTGAAATCCATGTAAGTCATCCTTCTTTTAAATGTACAAACCGAAATTCCATGTGCATGGAACATTCCCAAATTTGGCAAGTTGTTCAGTTTTTGGAACTTTCATGTCCTAAAATAATTAAATCACAACCGACGCAATACTCAATTTTTTGCGGATGTGAAAGTTGCTCGCTGGCTGTGAAAAATCACTGTTGTCTAAAATTATTTGTAGTTGATATGACAAAAAGATTTTAGATTTGTTGTTGTTGAAATGTGACACTTTTGTATCATGGACAACACATAAATTAATAGACAAACATGTTTATGAATTGCTATTCATATATTGTATAAGTTTAATATATAATTTTATTGCAAATATGGTAATACAATTGAATTTCTGTATATGTACCAATCAAATTGCCAAAGTCGTTGAAGCACAATTATATATCATATGTGCAAAAGAATTCCAATTTTACTACCATATTGCCACCATGCATAATGTTTTACGTGTAATTTTACTTTGTCACTGATGTATACCTTGTAAAAGAAACTGCAATTCGGCTCTCGGGCCGCGAATGTTTTTTAATGAAATAAACCATTTAAAATAAATATGAACACATTATTCATTGGAAGTTACAAATATGTTTTTGTATTCATATTTTCCTGATTTTTTAAAGTATTGAAATATTCATCCTAGCAGCATTATATCATGAAAAAAGAAAGAAATTGATATTCGTCTCCAGTTCTTAAAGGGAGTCACTCGTCAGTTTCCATGTGCAGAAGGCCACAATTCGCTGACACCAGACTTGGTGGATAAAAATCATTAACGTGTGTACAGGAATTATGTCTGCACATAGCAAACCTGTAGGCCAATCGAGAAATACCCCCTCGTCTCTCGGAGATCTCCGGGTGTGGGAAAAGTGAGATAATGACTTTACCATGTGGGGGAATTGGTGGAAAATGCAGTACCTTACATAAGGCCTGCTGGTCATAAAACTGAAGGCTAATTCTGGTGATTGACAGTACCTCTTATTGGGTAAACACTTGAACAGTGTTGAATTCCCCATGAGAGCTAACTACTGAGTGTCTTTAATATTTAGTTTTTTGTTTTAGTGAAATTGCAATTGTGTTTCATCCCTTTCAGCGCTGTATCATGAAGAACACAGAGAAACTGATAGAGCTGTGTGTGAGCAAGCTATCTCAGGATTGGTTTCCCCTTCTAGAACTTCTAGCCATGGCGCTTAATCCTCTCTGCAAGTAAGTCAAATACTCCTTTCAGAAAGTATTTCCATGTGCCTAGGGCCCTGTCTTATAAAGAGTTACGATAGATCCAAATCAATCGTAAGTCCTCCAATCAATCGCAAGCTTGCAGTCTCATATCTCTTATGTACATAGTTGCGATTGATATCAACTCTTTGTAAGACAGGGCCCTGAAGAGATTAGGATTTGGGTTTGAAGGGTACATGTGTGAGGGCCAAATACAAGGGTAATAATGACATTATCATATACTGTACCTGTGCATTTTCATGTGATGATGATGATAATACTATTGATAATAATAGTAAGAGTTTGTCGGACTCGACACTCCTAGTGCTTCACATTGATCACCCTGGCTTTAGCATGGCTGCTATTTCAGTGATCTGGCATTTAAGGAAATAATTCCCGCCAGGTACCCATATCAGAGCTGCAAACCAGTATGCTTTTATCGTATTTCTAGGTACGATTTTTAGAAGTAAATACGATAGTACAATTTTTCCTCCAAAAAATATGATTTTCAAAAAAAAAAAAAAAAAAAATTTGTAATGTGTGTGTGTGTTTGTGTGCCATTTTCAATGGCAAATAGCCCATTCTCTCCTGTAAAGTATCCTGCATCTCTCATCGGCAATTTGGGGATGTTCATTGGTTCATCGAACACATCAGTCATGACGAAATCATGCATATTCAACCATTGGTCCATCAAAAAATTTCTTCCTGTATGTAGGAACTTATACAAATTGGAACCCCTCCCCCCCCCCCCCCCCCACACACACACACAATAAAAAATTAATAATTTGCAGTGAGAAAGTACTTATCGATCAAAAATAGGATTTTTTGGGGAAAATAATAGGATTTTTATTCAGTTGAGGTTGGCAGCTCTGCCATATATATATCACCTCGATCGGTTGAGGCAAACAAAGATAAATGTCTTGCCAAGGACGTTTGTGCTGTGGCAGGGATGAAAATCCTGTACACTGTGGTTCACAGTCTGGAGACTCATTTATTAGACCACCAGCAATTCTACATTTTCATTACTATTACCCAACACCTGTATTGCTCTCACTAGTACTGTCAATATTGATGTTACTATTCCTTGTTCATGTTAGAAAACAGTTTCAAATATGTCTACTGAGGTTATTCAGTGTTATAAGATGATGACGTGGATCCTAATCAAATGATTGGTTGAGAGCGGACACGTGACCAGGCATCTAGTTTGCTTAACATGTAATTTGGATAATGACCGGTCATTATCCAATGATAATGACTGGTTATCAAAATCATGTCAAAAAACATCATTTTATAAAACAGATAAAACATAATCTTATTAAAAAAAACACAATACACATCATTTTGTTTCGAGCATGTGTAAAATTACCCACACTCGGTACCTTCAAAACAGTCCAAACACATTCGGCTATCGCCTTTGGTATGTTAGACTGTTCCTAAGGTACCTTGTGTGGGTAGTTCTTACTATGTTGTGTATTATTTGTTTAGCAATGTACCTGTTAGTTGGATGAACTAATTGTCATGCCATTTTGCCCCTTTTATTAGGTTCCATGTGTTTAATGGTTCGAGGCAGTCAGAAACGGTTCCAATGGGTTCTCAGGTATGTTGAATGGCATCATGTTTGTGATGGTGCTGATTGCTGAGAGAGGGAGAGAGAGAGGGGGGATGGAGTGAGCGAGAGTGAATTAGAGAGTGACGAGAGAGAGAGAGTGAGAGGAGGGGGGGGGGGGGTGGAGTGAATGAAGCAGAGTGAATTAGAGAGAGAGAGACAGACGGACAGGGAGGGAGGGAGGGAATCAGGGTGAAGTGAGTGAATGATGTAGAGTGAGTGAGAGTGAATTAAAGAGTGACAAGAGAGAGAGAGAGACAGAGAGAGACAGAGACAGAGAGACAGACAGACAGAGACAGAGAGAGGGAGAGGAGGGGTGAAGTGAGTGAATGATGTAGGGTGAGTGAGAGTGAATTAGAGAGTGACAAGAGAGAGAGGGAGAGAGAGAGACCAATACAGAGAGAGAGAGAGAGAGAATGGGGGTGAAGTGAGTGAAAGTGGAGAAAGAAAGAGAGAGAGAGAGAGAGAGAGAGAGAGAGAGAGAGAGAGCGCAGTGATATGAAAATGATTTTAGAACTCATGATTCTTTAAGAAAAGGTAAAGGAACTGTTTATTTTCTTTCTCCAACAGCTGAACAACAATGACATCTTTGCTAGACCTCCAGACATCAGAAACCCAAAGGTGAGTTCATGTTGATGATATTGTTTTTGTGCCTTTTTATAAGAAATCTCACATTTTCAGTAACAAAGAACTTTCTCAAACAAAAGAGTATTTGTTGCACTGCCATCTTGACCTTCAAGAGTTGCCAGGCTATTGATGTTATGCTATGATTTTTGTCAGTATCCTAACTGTTGAAATAATTGAAATTTTTTGTTCACAATTTTATGTATATATATGTTATATATTCAGATCGAAGTAGAGTTGTACGTAATCTGAAATCAATGACCATGTTTATTTCTCAGGTACCACAAAACTTAATTCTTGTTTGTATTTATATTTGGTTATTTTACCATCACTAGGGTTGGTTAGTAGACCTGTTGAATCGTTTTGGAGCCCTAGGTGGATTTGATATCCTACAGGAGAGGTTCTTGGATGAGAGTCAGTCTCTCAATGTTCCTATCATCCATGCTTTACTCAGGTAAGATTTTGATATATTTATTCATTTATTCATTTATTCATTTCTGCATGGTTCATCACATTACATGGTATGATCAACGTGAGATTAAACAAACAATTTAAGCAGTAGACTTAAAAAAGGCAGTTACAATCATTATACATTTATAGTAATACTGCATGGTGCAAAGGTTTAGCAATGAATAATGAATAAGTGAGGCTATTTTTGTTTTATATACCTCATACATAGATTGTCATTCACTGATTTGTCAAAACTATATCACATGACGAGGAGCATCTCAATCTATCATTGCGTCGTTCTATCAAACCCTGTGATGGTACTCCAAAACCTTATGATAGTACTCCAAAACCCTGTGATAATACTCCAAAACCCTGTGATAGTACTCCAAAACCCTGTGATAGTACTCCTAAACCCTGTGATAGTACTCCAAAACCCTGTGATAGTACTCCAAAACCCTGTGATAGTACTCCTAACCCCTCTGCGACTTTTGCACACACAGAGCGTACAAGATTTCAAATGCCCTCCAGCCGGTATGAACACCACCTTGGGAGTGATAATTCCCACCATCATCCTCATGAGCAGTCAATATTTATATAACATTCCGCTACTGTTATTCTGTCTCGATTTGATTAAGGTTCTTTCCTAATATCGTCAGGGTGTAAAATTCTATGTGAAATATGGCATTTTATTATGAAATCTATAATTGAATTAAAATTTTCTAAAAGCCCTTCTTAATCTTTTCTTTCACAGAGTAATCATTAATTGAGGTCTTCAAAAAAAGCCCTTAAAACTCATCTTTTTGATAAGTGTTTTTATTTATTGTAAATTGCACTTTGTTAAGCGCCGACGGTCCTGAAATGCACTATAGAAGAACTTGTTATTAGTACAGTGAAACCTGTCTATAATGACCTCCCAAGAGAGACAAGAAAATTGGTCTTTATAGGCAGGTGGTCTTTATATACAGGTTCCTTTAGTACATGTTTCAATGTGGAACCATTTTCAAGGGAAACAAAAAATGTGCTCTCTGCAACAGGTGGTCTTTATAGACAGGTGGTGACTAAAGCAGGTTTGACTGTACTATTATTATTGAACTTTTCATGGAACAGTGATCTGTTTGCTGATAGATTGAAGGAATCAATAAGATGTTTCTGATATTCTATTTCTGTTATTGTTTTTCTCCAGGCCTTGGGGTCAGTGCTATGAACTCATCACCCAGCATACTGTACAGACACACTTCATGCCTATTGTGGTAAGTTGTTGATACAATCATTCAAGATAGCCACATTTCAATGAATTTGTGTTTATTTATCATCCGACAATGTAAAAACACATGTAAACAGTCAAGTAAATGGGGACCGGTAGGAAGGAATTCCTTGAATGCTGGGAGCACCGAAATCGGTAGCAGAGCAGAGCCGGGGTAATATTGGAGCGCTTTGAGCACCTTGCATTATATAAATATCCAATATTATATCATTATTATTATTAATTAAAAATAATAGATGAAAGGATACTTTCACAAAAATCACAAAGCTTGTTCAACAGAAGGCACCTGAAAATATCAGGTGAAATGATAACAAATCAAATAAAACCCTATACAGAGAAGATCCTCCGCCCCCCTCCCCCCCCCCCCCCCCCAAACCGACTCCAGCGACATTAACACAATTTTAGGATGTAGCTGGGATTCCAATCGTTCAATATTTTCAGAATTTTTTTTGAGTGCCCAAGCTTGAGATCTAGAACAAAATATTGATGTACTCATGAAATTGCTGTATATGTAAGTAAATATTTCGAAGATCATATAAACCAAAAAATGAAAATATCGCATTATGGACATTTCAGTATCTATTTGTTTTAAACAATTCACTGTAAGTTAGTCATGAAATCCACCAGGCTCATAGCAAGTACATTTAATCATAGAGCTCAAACACAGGACTTTCAGTTTTAATGTCCTTGTTGACACTACTCCCGCAGTTGTGCATGTGCACCATACCATAAGGTAGCAATAATGTGGGTTTTTTTGAGGGGGGGGGGGGGAGGGCAGTAGGGTAGTTTTAGCTTGATGTGCATTACCATTGTCTGCAGGGCTGGAGAAGTGATTAAAAGTCATACAATTTTGTCTTGACGAGGATGGTGTAGATTATGTTACATACCATTTGTGCCATGCTGATTTGCATGTGCATAATATTTTGATGTTCCCACTATTAGAGCCTACCCAAACTATGATGTGCAACAGACCTGTCAAGCAGTACGATTTTTAGAAGCAAATACGACAGTACGATTTTCCTCAATAAAATATGATTAAAAAAGTATCCTGCAAGCATCTCACATCGGCAGTTTGGGGATGTTCATTGGTTCATCGATGCACAGTCATGACGAAATCAATGCATATTCAACCAATGATCCCCCCCAAAAATTCTTCCTGTATTTAGGAACTGTAAGAGGCATTGATCCGTGAAACAGTCTGTGTTTATTTTTAGGAATACAACATTGTCAGTAAAATGCAACTTTTGGGATTAAAGAATACAGTTTTTGAACTCCAGAGGTTGGCAGATCTGGTGCAAGCACCAAATACTCATGAAGGCTCACCAGAATAGGAGGTGTATGCAAACGTAATCCTCATGCAATTGTTTGTTCTGTCAATCGTGTTGTTAGGATCGGGTGGTAGCCTACCTGGACGGTCTTTCAGATGATGAACTAAAGAAGGAATCTAAGAATGAAGCCAGGAACGATGCACTCTCATCTATCATCAAGGTAACCGTGATCTGAATGCTTATTTGTTTAGAAATCCCTAATGACCCCATGTTAAAAAACCACATGACTGCTCAGAGTATATATTAAGGCATCATTACTTTCTTTTACAGCTAATGAAATAGTCCTCATGTTTGTATTGGTAGGCTTGTATCATAATGCTTGTTTTTGTGTAAACCATCAAAAATTGAACTGAAAATACAAATTGAAAGTTTAAAATAGGAAATCAAAAATTGAAACAAAAAAATCTCTATGCAAGAGAAATTCATCCTAATTAAAGAACATATGTGACAACTTATTGTATTCACAGATTTATGGAAACGTAAAATTTTGCAAAACAGGCAGAGGCAGTGGCCAGTTTATTTAATTAATTTTGTTACGAGTTCATTATTATAGAGTAGGCTTGCGGGTGCACTATGTGTGAGAGAGAGAGAGAGAGAGAGAGGATTGAGGAGTCTTGAAAAGGACTCTCTGTAATCTTTCTTGAGGGTGTGTAGGTGTAGTCCTGAAAAGGACTGTTTGTGTAGTCTTGAAAAAGACTGTTGGTTATCTTTCTTAGCTTATAGTTCTAAGGAGAACTATAGCGCTTGGAGAGGATGAGTGGCGGGAGTGGCTCGACGTTTCGAACAGGTTGACTATCCGTCGTCAGGAGTCAGGAGTGATTTCATTATTTATTTATCATATGTATATGATTTCTTTTTATCTCCTCTTTCAGGCTCTACGGAATCTTGTTTCCAAGGTTCCCAATCAGGAGGAAAAAATCAAGAACTTAGAGATGTTCAGACTCAAGATGATCTTGAGGTTACTTCAAATCTCGTCTTTCAATGGAAAGATGAACGCACTGAACGAAGTCAACAAGGTGATAGCTAACGTGACATACTACACACACAAACAGACAGGCGTGGATGAAGAGGAGTACCTCACAGCAGAGAGAATGGCTGTAAGTCTCCCATTTTCATTATATTTTTTAATTTATTTTTTTAAAATTACTTGTAGCATTAAGAGATTTGAGGGAGGATTAGGCGTCAAGCCAACTTTGATAATCCTAAACACTTATCACAAATCATCGAAAAATTACATATGTTCAGCTTGGGATACGAGTTTTGACTGTGGATTTGAGGTGTTTTCTTCCCGAATATTATCATGGATTCACGCAAAAGAGCGAGTAACCGAGGAGGAGATCCTATGACTGCAAACAGATTTTTAAAAACGTTTGATGCACATCTTTATTCTGAAATTTAAAATGGTAGGTTCAAAATGCAGTGATAAAATAAGAGTGATTGGGTGTTTTTGTACTTTTTTGCAAGAAAAATATGCTACGATTTAGTCTTTTTTTCTCTCCCATTGTCCATGCCCAGTGTTGCCTTCGATGGGACACTTGCATGTTGTTTCAATGCATTGATGTTATGTTCTTCCGATTGGTCTTTTGTTGTAGGAATGGATCCAGGAGAATAAGGTGCTGAGTATTGTTCTCAGAGACAGTCTTCATCAACCTCAGGTAAATAGACATCTTGAGATTCAAAGATAAAGCTGACATTCACTTTTGGCATCAATTATACATGTACAATTTAACTTTAGTAAGAAATACATAGAAGGCGTGAGGTAGTATTTTGGGAATTAGTTTATCTTGATTTTAGAGAAAACATTTCTGTTGTTCGTGTAAACTTTTAGCATTTTGTTTTATGAAGTGATTTTCATTGTTTATGTTTATTTCCTCATAGTTTGGAGAAACTTTTAAACGATTCTAAGATCTGTGATCAAAGAGAAAAAGTGTTGAATAGTAGCTGTAAGACTTCTAGAAGTTTGTTTATGTTATCATATTAATTGGCTTTCATTGCTTTTTGGGGGGGTCTTATTTTGTGGAGGAGCTAAAGAAATCTTAAGATTTGTGATCAAAGAGAAAAAAGGAAAGTTAAATTTTAGTTTAAAGACTTTTTGAGGTGTGTTAGGTAATCATATACTTTGCTTTTAATTAGTTATTTTCATTTTCTTGTAGTATGTGGAGAAGGTTCTGAGATTTTGATCAAGTAGGAAATTGTTATATGTTGTAGACTTTGAGAGTTGTGTACCAATATTCATATGCTTTCATTGTTTTATTTCTGTTACTTGTTAGTATGTTGAGAAACTGGAGAAGATCCTAAGATTTGTGATCAAAGAAAAAGCCCTCACGATGGAAGACTTGGACAACATTTGGGCTGCTCAGGTAAGTAACCAGTCAACTTCAGTTGCTAAATAAGCTCTTACATTCATGAGGGTTTTATTTTTTGCAACTTTCATGAATTTTGGCTGGGAGAGAATTCAAAAAAGCACAAAAAAGAAGAAGAAAAAGCTGGCAATGCACATGCAAACATGTATTATAACTAAGCAGTTGTAGTTTCTTTACTAATATTCTAAATTTAAATGTTAAAGGGATATTAGATGATCAATTTTAGACCATTGATGAGAGGCTAAATTCAAATAATTTTAATTCAGTTGAATAAGGTTAAACTCGATTTGATGTATCAATAATAATAAAAAACCATTCTTATGTAGCGCATATCACACAAATAAATTTAATTCCCTATGCGCTCAGAAAAAAAGAAAAGAAGGGATAATAGCAGACATGAGGGAAGAGAAATGAAAGAATAACTGCTTTGTCATAACATTGTACTAATTTAACAAACGAACAAATGTGTCTTCAAGAGACTCTTGAAATTTTCTACTGTATCAACCTGCTTAAGATGACTAAGTAATTTATTCCATACCTCTGCAGTATTAGCTTCCAAGAAACCATGATAATACAGAACCTAAATGTCAGTTATTAGTGCCAAATATGGCTATGAAGCATGTTGCTTGCCACCTTGCTAAGTATCACTGACATATGCATACTTCTACTTATGTACTTATCTAGGTTGGAAAGCATGAAGCTATTGTGAAGAATGTCCATGATCTACTAGCCAAGCTTGCCTGGGACTTCTCCCCTGAACAGCTGGATCATCTTTTTGATTGCTTCCAGGTAAATTCTCTTCTTCTTTTTTCAACACTTCTGTAATAGATGTATCTTACAGGACCATGTCATTGTTGTTATTGGTGTTGTTGATTGACAAAATGATTTTATTCTATTTCATATAACAATTGTTTGCACAATAAACTGGAAAGCATAGTTTGTTTTTGTAGGCTCCCAAGAATAATTATAATATGAACATTATTTTCATAAATCATTTTAAAGTGTCTTAATAATCACAGTAATATAGATATAATATAATAACATACACTGTATTTTCATAAACCATTTTATAGTATCTTGTTATGGTCGTCATAATTATCGTCATCAAAAAATAAATAATGGTCCTTGTCTGTCTTTGCAGGAGAGTTGGGCCACTGCCAGCACCAAGCAGCGAGAGAAGCTCCTAGAATTGATCCGTAGGCTAGCCGAGGACGACAAGGATGGTCTCATGGCCCACAAGGTCCTGTCCCTACTCTGGACCCTAGCCCACCAGCAGGATGTCCCTACAGACATCATGGACCAGGCCCTGCATGCCCACACCAAGATCCTGGACTATAGTTGCTCACAGGTGAGCTCAAAACAGGCTCATAGCTAGTTGTCATCCAACAAATCTTGGAAATCCACTAAATTTTGTAAAGTCTAGTTTAAGTGTATCTAAGTAAGCAACCCTAACCTTTATCGTTGAGAGAAAGACTGGAGCAATTATCACGTGAGAAAAAGTTGAATCACCATATAAGAGATACTTGAAGGTAACGGTGGTTCTCTTTGTTTTTTCTTTGAAGCACACAAGCAATCATCATTTATGAAATTAATTCTATATATGTTTACAGGACCGAGACTCCCAGAAGCTGCACTGGATAGACAAGTTTGTGGAGGAGCTCAGGAAAGATAACTGGGTCATTCCAGCTCTCAAGCAGATCAAAGAAATATGCAGTCTGTTTGCTGAGGTGAGTCTACCATTAAGCTTTGCATCCTTTAAAGTCATCGTTTAACAATGTTAAATCTGAGATGCATGGCCCTACGTGTTGTCAGTGTCTGTGATATGGTGTTATATTGAAGCTCTAAAAAAATTGCATTTAAAAATGATCAAGAAGTGCCTCAAAAAAGTAAAAACCTTTAAGTGCCCGGTTTTACCATACTCGTTTTCCCCAATAGACTCTAGTGTTATGAAAACCGTTTGGCAAATGCAAAATTTGATTTCGATTTTCAATCATAAATATCTTGATAATCAGACAGGCGGTCGGCTTGTAAAAGCCATGCAGTTCCTGACTGACCCAAAGGTTTATAATTATCATTGCAGCAAGAGCTAAATCAAGGATTATTTTAAAGGGTCTAAGACAAAGTTACCAGATCCCTTTAAGCCTTGCATCTTTTAACTTTAAAATGATTTGTTAGCAGTTGGGATTAATCCAAATTTCTGCATATCAGGGTGTTGAAATTGGGTATACCTTTCCATTTATCTACTTCAATTGGAGATTTCTAACAATTTTGTTGTTGTACTTGCAAACAGTGTACATTGACTGTGATGCATTCGTCTTCTTTCTTTCTCTCAAATTCTTTTCTATTTAAATTATACTCGCTCCCTCTTTCCTTCTCACTCTATCTCTCTTATATTTTAATTGTAAAATTTCTCTCTTGAATATGTAAATTGTCTCTCTCTCTCTCTCTCCCTTGAATGTTCGAGTTATATATTCCTTTTCTTTTGAATATCTCCAGGCACCGCAAAACTACCCTACTGCCCAGCGCTCCTCCCATGTGCAATATCGGCATGATGTCATCAACTCGCTGCAAACCAAACATTCACTGGTGACTTTGGTGGCCGAGAATCTCTCCAGTTACATGAACCATGCAAGGCAGTCTGCCAAGGGTAGGAATATACTTTCTCTTTTCTTCCCTCATGTCTGCTATTATCCCTTCTTTTCTTTTTTATGAGCGCGTAGTGACTTAAATCTATTATACTTTAGTATCCTCTATCCTGTAATTTGATAATTATGTAGCTTCAGTTGAAAGAGTAATGGTCTTGGATAAGGATTACAGATAAGTTGAATTCTGAGCAGTCATCCAATCTTTTATTAAAAAAAATATCTCTACTTTGTCAGAATTCAATCTTCTCTTTAATCTGAGTTTAACATAGCTGAGGGCACTTGTGTTCTTGAGTAAGGAATTTGTTCTCAATCGTGCAGTTTTTTTAATGGGACGAAAATACTGTATTTCGTGTGGAGCTCATTTAAAAAAACATAAATTTGCTTTCTTCCTACCATAGTAAAATAAAATAAAAATGAAAATATATTGATTTACAAGTATTAATAAAGTTCAAGTTCAATTTGTTAATAACCTCCCAATGCTCATTGTTGTGTTTGTGTGTGTATTGGGTTTTTACAGACGTGTATCAATCAGATATGATTATTTACGTCTGGGGACCGACCTTTAAACGTCACCATATGATAGACGTGACTCAGTTTCGAACCTGCGTTCTCGCTTGAATCAGTTTGTAACTTCAACTGTTAGCTGGATTACAGGCGCATGCCATAATGCCTATTTGACTTTACTCTCTCATATTAATTAGATACAATGTTATGGAGCAAATTGTGAAGTGCGTTATAACTGAAAGGAAAGGGTACTATACCATCTACTTTGTGGATTGGTTTGGTAATAAATGAACCCTTCTTTGCTTTTCTCTCTTTATGTTTGATGCAGAAAACCCAGATCCCCAAAACATACCCCCAGATAGCAGGTATAGCCATGTACAACAAGTCCAGGAGAGGCTCAACTTCTTGAGGTTAGTTTTCTCTGCTCAATTTTTAAAAAGATATTTGAAATAAAGTATAAGATTCTAACTTGGCAGTTTTTCCTTTTATTACCCCCATTTATTTATACATAGCCCTAGAAAAAAAAATCATCACACCAGGCTTTTTTTATAGTGTATAATGTATTATGCATGGAACTGATTTTAAAAAAAAAATGTTTGGTTTTGATTGATGAAATAACATATATGAAGGGAATTGCACGTTGCTATTATGGTACGTTATTTCCTTTGTACCATGTGAATAAGATTATCAGTAATCTCTCTTGGTTTAATACGTTTTTTCCATGGTTGTATTGCTGACATTGGGTCATTTAAATCTAAATTGTTTAAAATTGCTTTTGTATGAAAGAATGAAACTTTGATTTGATTTTAGCTTTGATTTCATTTTCTATTTACTGTCGATATTTTTTACAGATTCCTGTTAAAAGATGGGCAACTGTGGTTATGTGCACCCCAAGCCAAAGAAGTAAGTAAAAAAGAAACCAATACTCATCTAAAAATACATGTATTTTTCTCAGTTTCGGTTTAGATGAAATATTTAGCCTACCTAGGTATCCAGTTGACTTTAGTTTTTAGATGGCTAGCAAGCAAACTTCATCCAATTATTTACAAAATACAATGTTGAAGGAATCTCCTTGCAGCTTTCAGCATCATTTTGTTGTTCAGCTATTTCTTGTGACTGATGAAAAGGCTTTTCTTAATTGACAGAGACGTATATTTTTCAAAAATTGATATATTGTTATACAGCACATGATATATGGTTGAAAAGCACATAATCTGGTGACAAATGCTCAATGGTCAATATCCTACTCAAACAAAATAATTAACTTTGGCCTTAGGACAAACACTATACCTTATCCTAACCCTAACCCTAAACTAAAACCCATTTGCGACCCACTCCGTAACTCTGTATTTTAGACAAAATAAAGCTCAGTGCAACTGCTGTGGGTCCTATGTCAGAAAGAAAGAAAGAGACAAGTCATCCAGACAGTGGTGCATGGGGTCACCAGGAATCGGGAACGACTCGATGACCCCTAACAATAACAACAACAACAACTTATGTTGGAGCAACCATTGAATGATTCCATGTTTTTGATCATTTTCATTTCAGATCTGGCATTGTTTAGCAGAGAACTCTGTGTATGTGAGTGACAGAGAGGCATGCTTCAAGTGGTTTTCAAAGGTGAGTAATTTAATTGTTAACTCTTTGTGTAAAATGATATGAAGTAACAACCTTCTGGCTCTAAATAGACGATGTAGAATGTATCTAAATTTCAAGGTTCCATGTGACTTGCATGTCTCCATCATCCCACCATTATACTGCTTATCACAAGAACACTTTCAATAATGATAATAGTAATCTTGATTTTATAGCGCTTAATTTGAAATAACCTCGCTTTCCAGATAGCATTGCCCCGGTCCTTCAGTGTGTCTGATAACCTGGAAGTTAAAGGCATAATGCACTACTTCTAAGTTTATGCCCTGTTATGTGAACATTTATTTATGAATTTTGTTTGTTTTTATGTGTACTTTGTTGTTTGATTTTGTGTTTATTATTCAGTTGATGGGTGAAGAGCCTGACCTTGATCCTGAGATAAACCGTGATTTCTTTGAAGACAACATCCTTCAACTCGACCCTGCACTGCTAACAGAGAACGGTATCAAGTAAGTCAAATTCTCTTCACTCAAACTACCTCTAACATTACTAGTTATAAAAATTGAGAAAGAAGTAGCATGGAGATATCTCATATATTCATATGCTAATCCCTCTTGGATATAAAGAAATTTTGATTGAAAATATACTGGTGTCATGGATTTCACGTTGTCATCAAATCCTCTAAATGTTTCTGTATTATTTTCATCATTTAGGAGGGGAGGGGGGGGGGATTAATAATCCTTCACTGTTCACCTATGTCTTGCCAGATTAAGGTGATGTGTTCCCTTCTAGCTTTCTAAGTATCTTCTCCTGGTTCGGAGGTTGATTGCAACATCTCTCCATTTCACTCTATCTTCTGCCATTCTGGTGCACTCTTGCAGTTTTAGTCCTCTCCAGTTCTTGAAATTTTCTTCCCAGTTAATTCTGGGTCTCCCTCTCGGTCTACCTTCTTCCACTCTTCCTTTCAATACATCCTTTAAGATGTCCCCTTATAAACTTGTTTTTGTTCACTCTCCGCTCTTTTAGATGCTTTGACCGCTTCTTCAAAGCGGTGAACTCCAAGGAGGGCAAGCTGGTCCCTAAGAGACGAGCCTTCCTCATGGATGATCTGGAGCTCATAGGTCTGGACTACTTATGGAGGGTGGTCCTCTGTTCAGGGGATGAGATAGCGCTCAAAGCCATAGAACTACTCAAGGAGACCTACACCAATCTTGGACCAAAACTGCAGGCCAGTCAGGTATTTCCCAAGATCTCAATATTTTTTTTTACTTTGTCTAGCTAGTGGTGCATCATTTTTTAAAGGTCTAAATGACTCAACTTTGCATTATTGGCACCAATTATTCTCATCTTACATTCTTTAAAACCAACCAAAATGTAAATTGAATTGAAAACTGTGAATGGAATTTACAAAAATGCAACAAATTAATAAAAATTGCCAATTTGTACATCAAACTAGTGATTATAGATTCCATCCTGTATTGTCAATTTAGAGACTTCATTGCTAATTTTCAATTAAAATGTTTTTATTAATGAACTGCACAGTGTACTACAACAGAAACATTTCTTGGATTTTGGTTGCTCTTTCTGCTTGGGTTTTATATGTAATTCATAGCATTTGGATTAACTTGTGATACTTTGCGGTTCAATATATCTATATTCGCTGTGCATTTTTCAATCATATATTATATCACCCTTGACTCTGGACAATGTACTCAAATCTTGATCTTTGTTATCTTTCAGAGTGATATACATGAAGATTTTATCCAGTCTTGTATGGACAGACTGAAAGCTATGTATGACACACTCAGAATACTGGAGACAGACAAGGAATGTGCAGATAAGGTCAGTCAATAAGCTGTAGTAATATTAATTTCACTATGAAATAATTTTCATCTGTTTTTGGTTACAATATTGACAGGTTTGTTGATGAGGGGTGACCATACTATAATGAAATCTGTTTTAGCCCCAGACTTCTTCATAAAGGCAATTATCATCTCGGGTTTATAGATATGTACATGAATACTGAAAAACAGGACACATTCATGTCCATGATACATTTGTGAATATTGTAAGTGGTGATAATGTATTGCATTATTATCATTGCTATATAGTCTTATTATTATTATTATTATCAACAACGGTCATTCATTGTGTAACATGGTATTGCGATACACATATATATGACATATTACAAGTATCGATAATTTGAACTTGAACTTGAACTTGATATTTTCAACATATACATTTCTCTCCAACATGTTTGTTTCCACTGAAATAAGTAGCTGTATACTGATCCTTCCTTTACAATAAATCTTGACATCAGGTGCAGCATGAAGCAACTAGAATGACAAGAATTCTGACAATCTTGAAGGAGTATATTAGTGAATATGACCTGGACTTCACAGAAGAGAGAACCATTCTACCAATGGCAAGGTGAGTCAGTCCTTCGGCAAGGCATCTCAAAAGTTATAAAGTAAAGTCCACCTCAAAAATTAATATCTCTGTAATGAAGTAATTAAAACCAAGGTCACAACTGGGACCTGTTTCATAAAACTTGTTATCTATAACAAATGCTAAATTTCTATGACAAATTTGCTCTCCGCCAATCAGATGCCTTGATTTCAGTAGCTTATATCAGTAGCTTGTAACTTGTTATTAATATCAAGTTTCATGAAACAGGGCCCAGCTGTGGACTTGTTGCAGAGAAGAGCATGGCCAGTTGTGACCTTAGCTGACATATTTAAAAGTTAGCATTCACAGAGCAACTTTATTGTGATAAATGCTTGTAATGGTTTGAATACACAAGAGTAGGGAATATTCAGTACTGAAGATGACTGAATCTGATGACTTGGGTAATAATAATACATCTGTAGCGAGCTTTATCGTATATGTATTCAGCATTATATAAATCCAGAATATTATTATTATTATTATTTGTTTGTTGTTTATTCAGAGCTCACAGGGGCAAGCACGTGACCCTCAATGTGAGGTTTCCAAACCAGGGCAGGCAGGTTGATGACATTGATATCTGGTCTCACACCAATGAATCCTTAGCTTCAGTCAGGAGACAGATCCTTCTCAGGTAAGCACCCTCAACATGTGGGAGTGTCGTGGTTGAGTGGTTGAAGGCGCTTGCCTAGAGATGCGAAGGTTGAGGGTACGAACCCCGACATGGCACTAATATCCTTTAGCAAGATATTAGCCTACACTTGCTACTCTCCTCCCAGGTGTTAAAATGGGTACCCGGTAGGATGCGACCGTCATTGTTGGTCAAACAGTTTTTGAGCGTCAAGTAACACCTAGCTGGAATGCTCCCCAAGGAGTGGAGATTGTGCACACAGTGTGTGTGGGCAAGCACTGAATCCAATGACCGGGGTTATAGTATATCTGCAAAGCGCTTAGAGACGTCCGAGATGTATTAAGCGCTATATAAAAGCTGAACATTATTATTATTATTAGCACGAGTACTGCTGGGCAGTGTATTGGAGGAATTTAATCATATTTACTCTGTTGCCCCAAGTTCTTCAACAACTGTTATATAATGCACAATTAATTCTACTTATAGTACTTTTTTTCATTGTTAAACTCAGTATGAAGTATTTTCCATTGAAATAAATTGTCCTATCAAGGTACCTGTTTGTGATTCAGGAAGAGAAATTGAGCGATTCATGGTCGAAACACAATATCCAATGTTCAAATTCTTGGACAGGATTCGCCTCCCATGACACTGAACGATTTAATCAAGAGATGATTTTACATTAGTATTTAGGGCTCTACATTTCGTGAAGGATTCAAGCTTATTCTACAGTATGCCAGTCCTAAAGAGCGAATATAAGTATAGTCACAGCTTTAGCAAACTCCTATATAGAAAGTTGATCTGCCCACAAAGACCACATTTCTTTTCCTTTGAACAGCATTTTTTTCAAACTTGTACTAAACAAACCTTTATCTAAAGATCTACCTGCTTAGGAAGATCACTTTTCCCTGACTCCTTTGGACAGTCTTTATATAGTATATACTGGTTTTACTGTAATAGTTTTGTGTCTTTTACCTTGAGTTTTGAGCGAAAGCAAATCTCGTTACAAGGTGGTTTGTTATCAATGGGGAGCTTTTAGATATAATATGTACAGGTTTCATCACAATATGTTATTTTTTAATGTCAATTTCACAGAGCAAAAGCTAATTTAGCGACAACGCGGTTAGACCTGTACATCAATGGGGAGCTTCTAGACCCTGCTGAAGATAGGCGACTGGTTGGAGACATTCCTCTCAGAGACAGAACAGTGAGTGATGGACAAAATTAGTTATACAGACCCTGCCAACCAGTACGATTTAGTCGTATTTTCGTACAATTTTTAGAAGCAAATACGACAGTACGATTTCCCTCAATAAAATACGATTTTCAAAAAAACTAAAATTTAGGGATGTTCATTGGTTCATCGAACTCAACAGTCGTGACGAAATCATGCATATTTATCCAATAATCCATAACAAAAATTCTTCCTGTATGTAGGAACTGTAGGAGGCATTGATCCGCGAAACAGTCCGTGTTTATTTTTGAGAATTCAACTTTTGTCAGTAAAATACAACTTTTGGGAATAAAGAATACAGTTTTTGAACTCCAGAGGTTGGCAGGTCTGGTTATAGGCAGGAAGGAGAAGTGTAATGTAGAGGAAGAGTGTCGTAGTTAATTTAGTGATTGTAATTCATGGTGTTGTATCTAACTGTAGACCTCGTCATTCCAGGGGGGGGGGGGGGAGGGGGCATTTCACAGAACTTGTCATCAGTGACAAATGAGAGGTTTTGTTATAAGCTACTGAAATCCTTGCTTCTGATTGGTTATCAGCAGATTTGTCACTGATTTTTGTCATTTGTCATTGACAAAAGGCTTTGAGAAACAGGCACCTGGCCTAGGTCCTAATGACAGTAGATGCAAATGAAATATTGAATAATCTTTTATGTCTATCTCCTTGCAGCTTTAGTAGCTAATCTTTGTCAAACTGAGGCCCAACATGCTGTTGTTACCTGATTGTTAATCAGACTCCTCAGATGAAGCTCTGCATCTTATTGTAGTCCCCATCATTTCCAAGGTCTAATGATTTTAGATGCAATGAAATAATACTTACTATCTTACGTGTCTTATCTCCTTGCAGCTCATAACAGCTAAGCTGTGTCAGATGGGGTCCAATATGCCATCGTCACCTGATAGTTCATCGGACTCTTCAGGTGGATCACCGCATCATCCTTATGATGGACCCAACGTGGAAGCAGAGAAGTGTCTTCCAGGAGTGGTGAGTTGCCGTCCCGTTCTCGTGATCGCGTTATCTCAAGAAATGATTGATGGATTCCTCCCTCTCTCTCTTTTCTCCCAATCCTCCCCCTTACGTGGAATTTTCATGTTTTTATATAATTTTTGGGAAATTTCCTGATTTATTTGAGAGGGAATATTCAGCTTTATCACTGTTCCATTTGAGCGGCTCCTCATTGTTTTCATGTATCTGATAGGGATACAGTTGTACGAGACAGTTCCAAGTCATTAGGTCATGTGTTGTACCGTAGGTTATCAAATGTTTGGATATTGAGAACAAATTACCTTAAATTCACTTGATCATTGGTCTGATTTGAGCTCTAGAAAGGCCTGCAAATTGATACAATCGTCAGATGAACTAACATCAAAATGCGGTTGGTACTGTATGGATCAAAATGGCTTGTAGGTGGCCAATATAACACAATTTTCCTAATGTGTATGCAGTCTACAGGTATGGTTTCCTATGTAAGGAATCTATGTAATGTCCCATCTCAAGGGTGGAGTGTTTTCTTTTAGTATTATACCTTGCTGCTTTTAAAGAAATAATTGATATCTTAAACATAAAATTGAACTCACATAACTTATGCATGATTGTTGGTCAAGGTTGATACCTTAGTCATATCGACAACAAACGCGCAACATACCGAACAAAAATATGACACTACGTCTATGACCAAGAATCTGTAGGTTTGGAGTATTTCTGAAGTCTGTTTGGCGGTGTGGCTGAGGTATATTTTAACCTGTTTATGTTCTCTTTCAGCTGATGTCTTTGCAACACACCTATGTAGAGTTCCTGTTCCATCTGTCTGACTTGGGCTGTAATCTCAACATAAGTCCTCTAAGGAACGGGGCTAGAGCGTTACTCAAAATCATGCCAGCAGGTACTCAAGTTCTTTCCAGTTTATCTCTTTGAATTAAAGATCCTAACCGAAGTTATAAATGAAATAGATGAATTATATATCAACGGAAAGCTTATAAGCCATAGATTACAATAATATCAATTATATGCCATGTTAGAGTCTATCAGAGGAGTATCAGCTCTCTGAAAACTCTATATCTAAAGCTTTGAAAATCAGAAGTTGTCGACCTAAAAAGTGGCTACCGACGCTATCGACACATCTTATGTGGAGTATGCATATTCACAATGACTTTGCATTAATTAAGCACGGCTCATCGCCACATCTATATAAGTCAACTTCATCAAATTTGACGTCTGTTGACCCGTCATAATGATTAATTTACTAATTCTCTTCCATTTTGTCCTCTTGTAGATGTGACTATAGTTGACAAACTGATAGAGATTTGCAGGAACAATGCCAAGCTTGGAGATCAGTCGGCTTCTCCTTCCCTTGAATCTCTCTTCTTTGGGTCGTCGTCATCTCAGGTTCTCTATCACCTTGAGGTAAATCATTATCTCTCTTTATTTTTTACTCTGAAATGCATGTTCAGGTATTATGACGGAAATCGCAGCATTTTGTTATCTTTTACATGTAATTAAATGGCAAGTGATGATTTGAAAAAAATATCTGCACGCAACAAAGGTCTTACGTCTAGTAAGTTATGTGTTTATAATTAGACAAAGAAAAAGAATCCGCTTTGTTAATGTCATGTGTAAACAATCTGCATTTAACACTGCATTTAAGTTAATTGTGACTTTGTTTTTTTCTGTCTCCCTGTCCAATTCGATTCCCAGGTTGTGTACTCATTACTAATGCCAGCCAGACAGCCGCACAGTGAACCAGCGTTTGATTTCCAGGTACATTAGTATAAAACTATTGTCTGCTTCAGGGGAAATAGTCAAAACTATTGCCCTGAAAGAATCTTGGTACTGTGCTGTATCCAATGAAGAGGGTTAGGGGTCCAGTGAAGTCTAGAGATAACCAAGGGAATATAGTTTTAGCTGTGACCCCCAAAATAAGCTGTCAATAACTGTTTCTTGTAAACAAAATGAAAGCAATCTTTTTTATTTTGGTGTTTAATACCTTGATGATGATACATGCTGTTACCTACAGAGGACTGATAAAAGTGATAGCTTTGTAAGAGCATTATCGGTACACAACTAAAAGAAAGTCTCACTGAAATCATATTCCTAGTCCAGGTAGTGGGTTTTTTTAATAGAGTTTGTGTATTAATAAGTTTTTATCAACTGAAAAAATGAACTAAAAATCAGGAATTTTGTGGCCTGAAATTTGTTCGAATTTGAACCACTTGTGTTTATTCCCACAAAATTCTCTGGTTTTATAGTTGTAAATATAGAGACCAGAGATGCCAGTTTTCAGGCAATAGCCTTAATTCAGGCCCTGGCAAGTTAATTTCAGACCATAGTTTAGCCTTTTTTGTGTACAAAATAGCTCATTCTTGGTGATTTTCGGGCCCTCTGATCAATTCTAACTGGCATCCCTGAGAGACACATGCCAATATTTGATGGCTAAATTCTATTATCTCTACCTCGTCTCTTTTTAGTACAATTTCTTGAAGAGCGGTGGAGTGTCTGGGGTGATGAACATGCTGACAAAGAATAATTTCTTGCCTAATGCTGATATGGAGACAAGGAGGTGAGTGGGTCTGGACACCTTTAAATATTACACAGTATAAAAGAAAGCATTGAATGAAACAATTGTTGAATGAGACTACAAGTATTTTTTGTAGAGTCTGTTGATTAGTTCCTCAGAATAGTTTGTAACACAAATTAAATGCTTTTTTTTCTTTTTCTTCAATTCTTATTATCTTTTCTTCTTCCTTTCTTTTTTCTTTGTTCTTCCCTGTCTTTTTCCGCTTACTTTCTTCATGGTTTTCTTTCCTACTCCATTTTCATCTTTACTTCTTTCCATCTTTTTTTCTTCTGATTTCCTCTAATCATTTTATTTTATTTCTCCATTCTTTATCTTTCCCTTTTTTTCTTTCTTTTTCTTCCTCTTTCCTTTGCTTTCATGAATAATAATTTCCTTCTCAATTTTAAAATTTCTTCTTCATTTTCAAATTTGTCTACATTTTTATATTATAACTTGCCATCCTTTTTTCATCTTCCCCGTCCGCCCATGCATCCGTCCATTAGATCTGCTCTGCTGATGGTGCTCAAGGTGGGTAAGCTCATGTTCACCACGCTGGCCTATGCCCGCATCACGGCGGTAGCGGAGGCCTGCCAGACGGACCCAGCCGGTGGTCCCAGCCAGTCATCCGTCTCCCAGACCACCCATACTCAGGCAGTAGTCCTCCAGCAGGCCATGCAACACATCCCTAACCCTAATGCTGAGTGTGTGCTGAGGAATGTCGCTGTAAGGCTGGGCAGGCAGGCAGCTGAAGAGGTGATTTGGCGTTTCTTTATCAATATATATGTAGGCAGCTACTGTCAAGCTATCCATAGTTCGGCTTTCGGAGCTGAGTACTATATCAGGCCTGATAATTACCCCATTTAAATCGATTTCCTGATTATTATTATTTTTTTTCCAGATATTTTTTTTTTTTCCTTCCAGATTTTACCCTGATTTTCCCTATTTTCCCTATTTTTCCCAATTTTCTTAATCCAAAGGTGGGAATGTTGTTAAATGCTATTTTGTTTTCTTGCCTGAGTCCTTTTTTTTTTTACTCAAAGGGGGGGGGGGGGGGGGGATTGAGGGGAATCACCATCAACCATTTTATACATTTAAATTGCACATTTTATACAAGCTGTGCTTGAAGAGATGGGGAGGGGATATTGTGTAAAAAAAAAGGTGTGTCTATTTTTCACTTTCCCTTGCTTTAAACAGACATTAATTTCCTATTTTGCAGTCAAAGAGTGATACCCTAGACCTAAGTGTTGTGAAAGCTATCAAGAAGATTGCCTGGTCGGCAGGCTGCGGATGCTCTCACCTACTGCATGGCTCAAACGAAGAGGTTCACAAATCGTTCGAAAAGGTTAGTAAATAAACATTTTATTCAAGATTCATTTTTGCTGTCCTTAAGTCCATTGGCATTACAAGCAACAGCTCTGTGAGCTGAGAGCAAGAAGGGCATTAATACTGTGTCAGGGAAAAAAGTAATATTTATCTTCGGGGGCTACTTTTCAACCTTGCCTGCATGAAAATATCATTCTAAAATTTGCATTGCATTGAACTCTATGCATATTTTCGGGGGCTCTTTTGGGCATTTTGGGGGCTCTTTCGCCCTGAGCCCCCTTGTATTTTTTTCTCACTGTACTGTGTTAAGATTTAGAGTAGCTTTAACTTGTGGTTCCATTCATCCCTCTTTGCAGTTATGTTCATTTCACATTCAAGGGCACTGGGTCTGATATCAAACTTTGCTTGTGGAAGAAAGTTTAGGATTGAACTTATGGTGGATGGATGAAATAAAAGTCATAACAATACAATGGGAGAGGAGGAGAGGGGGAGAGTGAGAGCAAGAGAGAGAGAGAGAGAGAGAGAGAGAGTGAGAACAAGAGACATTTAAACGGAGGGAGGAGAATGAAAGAGACACTTATGATTGATATGAGGGGAGATATTCTTCCAAGAGAATTCAGGCTTGATAATTACCTGATTAAAATCGGTTTCCCCGAATATCCAGATTTTTTTATGCCTCCGTTACGAAGTAGCCGGAGGCATTATGTTTTCGGGTTGTCCGTCCGTCCGTCCGTCCGTCCGTACGTCCGTACGTCCGTACGTCCGTACGTCCGTCCGTCCGTACGTCCCGTTCTCGTGATCGCGTTATCTGAAGAACCGATTGATGGATTCCTGCCAAACTTTGGTCATGTATGTATCTTGCAGAGCCGATGAACTGATTAGATTTTGGGGTCACGAGTTCAAAGGTCAAAGGTCACAGGGCTCATTATGTATGCAAAAACAGCTCGTGATCGCGTTATCTGAAGAACCGATTGATGGATTCCTGCCAAACTTTGGTCATGTATGTATCTTGCAGAGCCGATGAACTGATTAGATTTTGGGGTCACGAGTTCAAAGGTCAAAGGTCACAGGGCTCATTATGTATGCAAAAACAGCTCGTGATCGCGTTATCTGAAGAACCGATTGATGGATTCCTGCCAAACTTTGGTCATGTATGTATCTTGCAGAGCCGATGAACTGATTAGATTTTGGGGTCACGAGTTCAAAGGTCAAAGGTCACAGGGCTCATTATGTATGCAAAAACAGCTCGTGATCGCGTTATCTGAAGAACCGATTGATGGATTCCTGCCAAAATTAGGTCATGTATGTTACTTGCAGAGCCGATGAACTGATTAGATTTTGGGGTCATAAGGTCAAGGTCAAAGGTCATGCGGCTCATTATGTATGCAAAAATAGCTCGTGAACGCATTCTCATTAGAACTGACAAATGGATTACTATTTAACTCGGGACATCTTGTAGAGCCAATGAACTGAGTAGATGTTAGGGTCATGAGGTCAAAGATCAAAGGGTCATATATGTATATGAGAAATTGCTTGTAATCACGATATTCTGAGAAACTGTTAATGGATTACAATTGAACTTGAATTTGAAAAATTTCTTCTGTTTTTGTTTGTAAAATTGCTCTATGACGGAGGCATCATTTCGACTGCGCGCAGTTGAAGTTCCATCTAGTTTTTTTTTTAATTCCTTCCCTATTTTCTTACTTGCAGGGGGGGGGGGGATGTTGGATTTTTTTTTCTTCCTGATTCCATTTTTTTTGGGGGGGGGGTGGTTGAGGAAGAATTAAATTTTTTTTTTTTTTTTTTTTTTTTTTTTAGTGCTCACTATCACCCCTGAGAATTACAATTATGAATTGTAGCAAGTAAATAAATATATTCTATATAAATCAATATTTGCTATGTGTGCTGTGCAGGCTGATAGTGGTGAAGCAGATGGAGATGACGCAGCGTTGTGTAGGGAAGCACTGGAGGTGTTGACGGTATGTCTGGCTCTCTGCCCTCAAGCATTGGACGCTCTCAACAAGGACAAGGCCTGGCAATGTTGCATCATAGATCTTTTACTTCTAGCTAAGACAAGGTCAGTATTATAATAGTCGATTCCTCTTACGGTAGTGAATGTCTTTTATAGATAGGTAGTTATTCTATGCAGGTTTCATGCAGGCATTATTTACACTCAGTAAGGACAAGGCCTAGCAATGTTGTATGAAGGATCTGCTACTTCTAGCTGAAACAAGCTCAGTATGACAGAGAAGTTGGAGTCCTAGTCAAGGTGATGGATATTTTGTGTGCTTTTGGTCCTTTTTATCAATTCCTAAGTAGAAAGATATAGTAGCTATGTAACATGACTATAATTCCTCTTGCAATGCCCTTGTATCCCAAATATAATAAAATCATACTTTAAACTGTGGACTAAAATTTTATGTCAGATGTGTTTGTAGTCCCTTGAACCCATATTTGTATGCAGTCCTTTTCATTGTAAGTGATTGTCAACAAATTTTTTACTAAATTTGTTAACACTTTGATGATGTGGAAACCTTGCAATACTCAAATTACATAATTAACCCTTCCCCATAATCTGTAGACAGGTTTTTGGCAACCTTTTGACCATTACTCAACTTCATCTTTAAAACAAGGGCGGTGTAAAAAAGTAGGTATAAAACGTGACAGGTAAATGGGAGATTAAAATACACACTTTAAGTATTCTAATCCCTCTGTAATCTTGATATAACTCTATTATTTTCTGTTTCAATGTCAACAGGTCTGTACGTGTATCCGCTATGGAGCAGTTTCAGCTAATAGCTACCAAGTGTTCATCAGGGAATCGCCCCCTCATCTTCTTCATCACCCTCTGTTTCTCAGTCCTTCAGGTAAGTTCTCTTAAACATAATACAAAGTTTTGGTACGGGGTCATGACTTTGGTTCAAAAGAACATATTGGACACATACGTGATCCTACAATACTCAGTGATCGTTGTCCAATATTTTATCTCCAAACAGTGTACCACAAGGATGATTAACTATGAAAGCATTTTCAACAGGAAATAGGTTGGATAATGATTTTGGAATTTCAAATGCCATCAGGAATTTGTCTTCATAAACCCTGTTGATATCAAGAATTTGACCACATTTTTTTTTAAATAAAAGAAAATTAACAAAAAAGAGAAAATGAATTTCATGTTGTTAACTCTTTGTAAGGTGATTCTTTACTCTATTGTTCAGACACCATAGTATATGTAACGGATGAAATGAAAACAAACGACCCTCTTAAAATTTTCTTTGTATTTCAGAACAAGACAAAAGAGCACCCAGGTTCCTGTAGTGAATACTTCCTGTTGCTATGTCGGTTACTCAACTATGGCTACGTGTCCAACAGCTCCATGCCCAATGCAGAGGCTCTCCTCAACAATGAAATCGACTGGCTTAAGAAAGTTAGGGTGAGTATGATTAAGATAGCAAAACTAATATACTACTCTTGCTCCAGCTATATATTGGATGAAGTTTAATAAAGCCGGAAACAATCGTTTGCGTAGGAGGTGCCATAATCAGTGGGATGTCCTGCCAATTCCTGGGTTCAATCCTTTCTTGATGCTTACAACCTTGGACAATTTGTTATACCCTCACATGTCCATCCCTCTTGACCTGTACTTGTACTGGGTACCTGGCAATACTGTGCTAATGATATTTAAAGGCCTCTGGGGAAGAGCAGTATTAATACTGATCAAGGTACCTCTGGGTAAATAAAATGATATTACACCTATTATATTCATTGATATTACTATTATAGGATGGAGTATTGACAAGAGGAGAATGTCTGTGAAGAAATTTTCTGAGGGTAGTCTGAAGTATTACTACAGAACTCATGGGTTTCGTGACCTGCAGGAAAAATGGACGCTCTGTAATATGATTGTCTTATTATTGTTATTGTATCATGCTTGTCATCATTATTGTACAATCATTGATGATATTTACGATTACAGGATGGAGTATTGACAACAGGAGAGTGTCTGTGTGAGGAGACTCTATTGGAGGGTCACCAAGGTATTACTAGAGAACTCCTGGCTTTCATGACGAGTGAGAAGAAGTTCCAGGTTGGATCCAAGAAAGATGGCTGCCAGCTCATCAAGGTCAGCTAATGTTTCCAATTTTTGTTCCAATATTTATCCATTGATCTGTCAAGAGATTAGTGAAGCCTCGGTCACGAATGCTATTACGAACGCCGTACGAACGATTTTCAGACAATGGAAATTCGGGAAGACAATGGGAACGAACCTATGTGACCGAAGCTTTAATGGGGGGGGGGGGGGCTGTAATGTATTTTTGCAGGCCTTCTTTGAGAATTCAGACTATTGTGTATGATCCTGAAATCTGATGATGATAGAACCTTAAAACATGGGATAAAGGAGCACAATTGTTGTGTTTTGATTGGGAGGTGATACAGTTTAACAAATTGACACTAGTGCATTGTTAAAACCTAGGCACATACATGAGTTCCTGAAACCAGTGATGAATCATGAAAGACAATGTTTGTTCCCCATCATCTCTCTTCAGGAGTTATTGGATGACTTCTTGTTCCCCGCATCAAAGATCGTCGTTCAGACGTTAAAGAATGGAGCAGAGACACCTCTAGATCCCGTCATTCCAGTGTGCACGACCCCACCCACGATCAACGCTGCTTTCGACCTCCTGGTGGCGCTCTGCATGAACTGTGTGCCGAACCTCAAGCTTGTCACAGATACACTGACTGACATGTACTATTCAGGTTAGTGAAAAGATGATTGGTACTACAAAATCGGAGAATAGCGTTGAAAAGAGCCATAACTAAAGCTTTTCGACTTGCACTTATCAGAGTAAAACGCAAGAATGAAACAGAAGGCCGAAATCGATCAATATAAATGGAATCTAAAATGAACAAGGCACGAATATAACAAGCACTGATTGGCTGTCTAAAGTAACTGTAAATTAGGCTTAAGCCAGCTGGTTATACTAGGATAATGGCTAGAATAGTCTTGTCAGGTTAGTCTTGTCTGGACTTTCATGGTGATCCGAAATTTGCTCCGGTGACATTTGCTCCAACCTTTATTTCCTCAAATACATTTGGGTTAGGGTTAGCACTGCAATTTTATTTAATGGAGTTCTAGAGTAAAAGTAAGGTATAATGTTTGGGGATGATATTACCTCCAATGGCTTCTATTGGTAAATCAATAATGATAAATCAAAAATCGATTTTAGCAACTGTCCACCAAAAAAAGTATATTCTAATCTCAATTCATTGTTGCAAAGCATTTTGTCTGTTATCTATGAGATTCACAAACAGATTACTGTAAATATGTAATGAAATAGATGAACTTAATTACTTTGTTCTTAGAACAAAATGAGAAAATGAATTTATTGAGACAATCCTTTGTATTTTCCTTTAGTTCACAGAATTGTGGTATTATGTATATGAAGAAGAGTTGAATTTTTCCCACTAAATTAATTGACTAACTAATAATAATAATAATAATCTCTTAAAGTCCACTCCAAATTTTATTAAGTTAAACCAAAAATGGAAATTCTTTTTGCCCCATTGATCGTGAGCCCGGCAGCCTCTGAGCAGCGCCAGATCGACGTTGCTCTATCCCTTATTGTTGAACGGCAAACAAGGTAGCAGCAACTCCCGTCTTTTAACGTCTTTTGTTATGACGCGGCCGGGTTCGAACCCACGACCTCCATGTTGTGAGGCGGACGCTCTACTGACTTAGCCAACACACTGGTAATTCATCTAATTCTTCTAACGAGAGGACTTACTTGAAGTTTTCTAAGAGACTAACTCCTGTCCTATTTATGCCTTGATTTACCTATCCAGGTTTATAGTTGGGCAGCTTTCGAGAATAAAGGGTTTATTTCCTTTTTGTATCCAGCAGGTAATGATGCACCCTTGACGGAATGGGAATATCTCCCTCCTGTTGGTCCAAGACCTAACAAAGGCTTTGTGGGACTGAAGAACGCTGGAGCAACTTGCTACATGAACTCAGTCTTACAACAGGTGAGTCAACACAGACTTAATCATACTTTAAACTTCTACTAACCTTAAAAGTAAAGACCAGTTCTGGTCATGCGATTGCATTGTGAAAGAAATGTTGTGGAATCGATCAAAAAAGGTTGTCATCTAACATATAAGTATTGGTGTGTACTGTAAGGTTCTGGATTCATCAAAATGATCAGAAATTTGGCCCAGTCTTGGTAAATTTACAAGCACTGTACACAGAAAGATGTATATGGGACTACGCGGCACATGCGCGATATTTATCCGGTCCGGATAGATATAATAATCTACCAAATATATCAATTAGTAGGTGGTTTCCCGGCAAAATTTGTATCATCATGTATTACTCAAAACATATTCTTTCACATGATTGGTAATAAGAGCTTCCATTTCATTTTTTGAGAGAGGGGGTTTCCAATACTGGTCTATACCTTTAAACTTGGTGGGTGATCTTTTCGTCTACTCCGATAAACTTTCTCAAGTACAATAATTCTTTGCACAATATGTTGCTGTGTGCTCACTGTCTCTACTATAAATATGTGCAAATGTTAGCTTGGACATTGAGATTTACTCTCATGGCTTACATCATTTTAAATTTCATGCTGTACCTCATATATCTTACAAAATTGTAGATATACATAAATTTGTATTAACAAAAATAAATAATTTGTTGATTGATGTATTGATACTCCCCCCTTAGATATACATGGTTCCTGAGATAAGGCGAGCAGTCCTGTCAGCAGAGGGCGCTATCATAGATACCGAGGATGACTTCTACAATGACGAGAAACAAGATAACGAGGTATTCTGTTAGATTTGAAATTTGTGTAATTTCCCAAATTCATTTTTATGGACAATAGGGGGATCATCATTGTATTTCAAATAGATGTCGTTTCATATTGAAGCCAGCCATTAGTTTGTCATTTTTGCATGAAAACAATTGTGCCCTCCATTGGGTTACTAGTCCATGAACCTATCCTTATCAAAATAGTTTAATGAGAATTGTATTATTATTATTTCAATATTTGAAAGTAAATGCTTCTCTGAAATTGAATGAAGTAATTTTTGTAGAAGATAAATTATCCAAGTGTGATTTCTCAAGTGGCATGTGCAAGTGGTGCAAGTTTTTTGTTGTTGAAGATAATCAAGATGGGAGGCACTAGAGTATGAAAATATTAGGCAAGTACTTGGATTTATATACAATTTTGTGAATTTTTTTCCTTGGACAGAGTAACATAGACATTGTAGAATCGGAGGTTGGTAGCTCTGTGATAGAGGAAGGCCCTCCCATGAGCAAACAGGAGGAGACAAAGGAGTACAACCTTGGTGTCTTGAAGCATGTCCAAGCCATCTTTGGTCACTTAGCAGAGAGCAAACTCCAGTACTATGTACCTAGGGGATTCTGGAAGCACTTCAAGTAAGTCACTGAGCCTGTCAGGTGTTCTGCATAGCTCTAAAGACTACCAAAGTCTTTTATTTTAAATTGCCATTATGAAACTTGACTCATGAAACAGGTGTAAGAGGAACAGTATCACTTGCAGAATTTTGAGTTATGTGTAAAAGTTTGTGTTCTTTGTAATGTATTACAGATCAACACAATTTTTGACATATAAGACTTATCCCCCAAAACGCTCAAATCTTGAGATTGAGTAATGTAATGTAATGTAATGTTTATGCTGGTGATATAAAATACTTATTTCATTCTTATTTTTGAATGGACCAGGTAATGAATGTTGAATTGTGGTAGTCCCTCCTTGACTGTGAAATTGGTTATTAGATTTTGTGCTTTGAAAAAAGGGCAAAAAGGCATTAGCAATTGATCTATTTAGTGTATTATTAGGGATTCTCCTACTTACACAATTAAAATTAAAATTAAAATACAATTTTATTTCAAACAAAAAGTGTATAGTTGACCCTGTCTACTGCCATAGTCTTATCTGATTTGTGTTCCAGTCAGATTGGCTGGCAAGTCTAAACCTAAAAGACAAGCATAATGCTCTGTCTGTAAATACCTTTCTGCTTGCCTCATAACATTCGTTTCCAACAAAAATTGGATACCTGGTCCTAACCCTTGCCTTACCTTGTTTTCCATACCCTCTCAGATTAGGCGGTGAGCCTGTGAACCTTCGAGAACAGCATGATGCTTTAGAGTTCTTCAACAGTCTGGTAGACAGCCTAGACGAAGCGCTCAAAGCTCATGGAGCCAACGCAGTCTTCGCCAAAGTACTGGGTGGCTCTTATGCAGATCAAATGATATGCAAAGATTGTCCTCATAGGTAAGTCATCCTCGTTGCGTGGCCAGAATTCATGAAAGTGGTTTATTTTAACCCATGGTTAAAATATTACTGACAGCTCCCAAGATTATTTCTTTTTCTTGATTATTGGTTTGAAAAGTTCCTAAGCCTTTTCAGTGATGAGTGATAGTGTCTGAATTATGCATACCTAGATGTATTGCTCTGTTTACCAAAAGAGAAGAAAGAAAAAAAAATCTTATTTAGGTATTCTAGATAATCAACAACAGAAATCGATATTGACTATGTATAATGTGGAGATCCATATCGATAAAAAAAACACCATATTAAATATTTTGTTACAGGTATTCTAGAGAATCAATGTTTACGACGTTGAACGTGGACATTCGCAACAATCAGAACCTGCTAGACTCCCTGGAGCAGTTTGTCAAGGGAGATTTACTCGAAGGGGACAACGCATATCGATGTGAAAAGTGCAACAAAAAGGTATTTATGTGTTAGCATTAGGATGTGGTCTCTGATATTCTACAGAGGAAGTCTGTCCCTGTTCTATCGTTCACCCATACTCTGCCATGTGACCCACCATCTGTTATTTTCCTGATTTGTACATTTCTTCAAATTCTTGAATACAGTTATCTGGCACAAATATTTCAATGCCTTGTATTCATAAAGGTAGCCTCGGTGTACACCCTTACCCTGACACATATTTTGTTTTCATGTAATGATTGTATCTATTTTGATATGAATTTTGTCGTAAAATCATAATTATGTGTGCAGTATGTTCATTATAAAGAGCTTTACATTTGATGCTCCATAAAATAAAAGTTGAATTTCATCTGTCTTTATAAGTAAGTGCCTTTCTCATATACCTGGAAGGTGTTTCACAAAGATCCTACATGTAAGTCAAACTTAGTCAAAGTTATGGAGAGCCATTTGTAGCCTTAAAATATAATATATTCAAAAGCAAAAACTCAAGAATTTTCCCATGATAATAGAAAATATTAATGATTTGAATCAACATGTTATGCCTTTTATAATAACTTTTACAAAATATTTTCATAGATGCTAACAGCTTTCCATAGTTTTTAAGTCCAATTTAGAGATAAGTTCAACTTAAAATCTTTGTGAAACACCCTCCTGTTCACATAAAGGGTATCAGGGAAGTGTGTAAGGGTTATCAATTTGTTTCTTATCTCTGATGAAGGTGGACACTGTCAAACGCATGTGCATCAAGAGGCTACCAAAGGTCCTTGCAATTCAGCTCAAGAGATTTGACTATGACTGGGAACGGTAAGTCTTAATAACCACATCTAAATTGCATCGATCGATATGCTCTGTCATGTACACTGTTGATATTGAATTTATTATAATAATATGTCCACTTAAATACCTTGTAGAAATGTACTCTTTTTTGCCATTATGGTTCCTTTTTTGGTCGCACACCCCTGCCTTTCTCCTGTGCTGAAGGTTTAAAGATTGGGTCATGAAAGTATTTTTTGCCAGTATCTGTATGTTCTGCTTTCTGCAAATTAAGTGAATTTGAATTCCAGCACACCAGGAAGAAGGGTGAGGTCGGCATGGAAACAACAGTTTTTGTGCCGTTTGAAATTGTTCTTTGACAGTACCAATGCTGCAATCTGCCATTTGTCTGAATCTTAGCTACAGTCAAACCTGCTTTAGTGACCACCTGTCTACAAAGACCACATTTTTTTGTTTCCCTTGAAAATGGTTTATCATTGAAACATGTACTAAAGGAACATGTCTACAAAGACCACTTTTTGTGCTTCCCTTGGGCGGTCGCTGTAGACAGGTTTGACTGTACATGTATTGACAAACCCTTCTCTTTTCTTTTCTTTTATCTCTCCAGGGAATGTGCAATAAAGTTCAATGACTATTTTGAGTTTCCCAAAGAATTTGACATGGATCCTTACACGGTAGAAGGGCTAGCAAAAATAGAAGGTGAGTCACCTTGCTGATGGAAGGGAAACTTAAAGGGATAGTTGAGTTCTGTTTTTAGACCGCAAATGCCTTCAAAATGCATGGTTATTGCTCTTATTCTTATCTGACATTTGTAGTGCCCTTTTAGGACCCCAAAATATGTGAAATTTAGCCAATACGATCATACCAATCAGCTCCACTTAACATGGGCAGTTGTGCAAACAAAGATGATTTTGTCATTTAAATTGTATGTTCTTTCAAATTTGACACTCAGTTTTTCATTATCTCACAAAAAAATTATTTTGTGTAGCGCCCTCTGCAACAGAACTCAACTATCCCTTTAAACAATCTTAATCACTGTAGCTCAAGAGTGCTAGAGATATAGCTTGATAGACACAAGTGCAGTTGTTACTAATGATTAATGATAATACAAATTTGTAAGGTGTCATCTATTAAAATCTTCTATTCCAAGGTGCAAACAATTGACAAATCTCTTGCAGGACTACTCTCTAGAGGAATTATGATGAGTTCCTTTCAGAACTACACTCTTCAACTTCTCTGAAGAACTTTCTCAGTCTTGATCACTCATTCCTTTCTTTTCTCTTTCCATTTCTTCTAATTCTTGGTGTAAAAAATAACAAACAGTAGTCTTTCGTGAGTGTTAAATTTGATTTTATTTCATTCCATCAATATCTCTTTCCCTTTCTTTTCTTATCTTTTACTTTAATTAATTAAATTCCTCCAAATAATAATGATAATAATAATAATAGTGGGTTTTTGTATAGTTGCTCATGTCTCTCAAATACGACACTCCTGGTGCACCACAATCATTACCCCAGCTTTAGCATGGCTACCATTATGGCACTCTAGCATTTCAAGGAATTTATTCCTACCAGGTCACTATTTACTTCACCTGGGTTGAGTGTGGCAAACATAGATAGAAACCATATGAGCAGGTTTTAATAAAAGAACCTATCAACAGCCTTATTTCTAAGGCTACCACATTTTAAGGAAAGCCTCAATTTATGAGTAATAATATTTATAATATTAAGCTTTTATATAGCGCTTAATACAATGTCTCTTAGCGCTTTACAAATATACTATTACCCCGGTCATTGGATTCAGTCCTTGCCCGCACACACTGTGTGCACAATCTCCACTCCCTGGGGATCATTCCAGCCAGGCGTTACTCGACGCTTGAGTATCATTGTTACCAATTTAAAAGAAAACAACTGACTTTTTTCTGTAATGGGAAATTGGAAAATAGGTTGAAAACAGCTTATGCGCCCTGTTCCATGGTCCATGACAGTTTGTCCTGACATCGTAAAGGGATGTAATGTAACACCTAACCCTTCCTCTTATATTTCCATGAAATCAAACATTTGTGCTTTTATCTTTCTTGGCTTCAGGCGAGATCATCGCGGATGATGAGAGGGAGAACAGCGAGGAGGAAGAAGAAGGAAGCTCCAGAAGCACTAAGTATAGACTAGTAGGAGTGGTTGTACATAGCGGGCAGGCCAGTGGAGGTCACTACTACTCATACATTCTACATAGGTAAGAAAATTATATCTCTAAGACAATCGTTAAAAGGTCTTACTATAGCCTCCAGGAGCACCAAATATAGACTAGTAGGAGTGGTTGTACATAGCGGGCAGGCCAGTGGAGGTCACTTCTACTCATACATTCTACATAGGTAAGAAAATTATGTCTACAAGACAATCTTTTAAAGGTCTTACTATAGCCTCCAGGAGCACCAAATTTAGACTAGTAGGAGTGCTTGTACATAGCGGGCAGGCCAGTGGAGGACACTACTACTCATACATTCTACATAGGTATGAAAATGTCCAGGTCAAACCCTAGCCTGAAAGGTGTCAGGAGGTGAATTAGTTTTGTGCTCGATTGACCAAAGCCAATTTAAGTTGCGTTATATTTGCATGAGTGAGAATATTCATAGCGGGCTGTGTCACGTTTCTGCTGCAGTTAGGCTTCAAGTCAGCTTGTGTGTCCAAACTTTCTTTTCAAATACGACTTGAGATGAATCGTGCAGTGAACTTTAATACCGGTATGTGGTAGTGGCGGTGGTTATTCTACCTGACTGCTAAGAAAGCATAAATGCTTGTAAGTAAGCAACCAGACGGCCGACGGCTTTAGGTCATCTCTGAGGGACCTGGTAATGAGGATTAATGCCTTACCAAAGGGCACTAGCGCATCGCCTTGCTTTCGAACCCAGGTCACCGGATTACGAGACCACTGCTCTACCGACTGAGCTATCGCGCCTCCTCAAAAGATTATTTGATAAGGTTGTTTAATCTCTCTCTCTTTGTTTGATTTGCCTTTCAGGAATGGTGGTGATGGCAACCAGCAGGGTAAATGGTACAAGTTTGATGATGGAGAAGTGACGGAGTGTCGGATGGAAGACGATGAGGTCAGTTGAAGAGAAGTCTTCCTCCAAAATAATATAGTGTTAAAAACAGATGAATGAGAGAAACGGATAAGTAAATGTTTGAGGCTATAGAGAGCAAGAAATGCAAATACTAACTATCAACTCTGATGCACCTTCGAGCACCTCTCCCATTTCCTTTGTACAGAAAATTTCAGATATTTCCCCCTTTTCATGGCTGATGATAAAGATATTAAGTTTTCTCAGAGAAGTTGTGTGTAAAAACACGTGTTTAATGATATATTTATTGAAGTACATGAGTTAACACCCTTCTGGCTCCAAACAGATGTTAACTTGGGATTAGATATCATGATATATCCTCCTGTTGTATGTGAATGAGCCGTTCATGATGTTGTAGCCTATGTTACGGTGAAAATTGTAATGATTTCTTCTCCCTACAGGAGATGAAGAACCAGTGTTTTGGTGGAGAGTTCATGGGTGAGGTCTTTGATCACATGCTCAAGAGGTAAATATCATGTGACCTCCCAGTAGTATCATGTGACCTCCTGGTACTTCTACTGTCATAAGAAGTACATTCCTTCTCTATTTTCCATGGAGCAAGGTGTTCTCAATTATTTAAACATATTTGTGGCTTACACCCAGTAAATAAGATCGATTGATCGACCTTTAAGCAGTAGATGCAGGTTCAAGTCCCACTGGTTCCAAGATTTTTTCTGACTTGTTTTTCAATACAGATCGATCAATCAATTATTTACTGGGTGTAAGCCACAAATATGTTTAAATAATTGACATTTCTCCCAGGAAGCATTACATTTATTAAAGGCGTTGTCGGTTGAACATTGTGTGTTGCAGAGTGTTCTTCTTACTTGTACATCTTTCATGAATAGTACTCAACCTTGTCAAATCCTTGACAGTTTCATGGAACTGTACTTCTTATTTAAAAGCATTTGTTTAACCCTAAAAAGATTAGGTTTATTTTGGGGCTTTCTCAACTGGGAACTTGGTCATGGAGTAAAAAAAAAAGTTATGAAACTTTGCATATTGAAAGGGCATCTTGAAGTGAATGAGCCAATGAAGTTTCATATCTATCTCTTGAACGGTGTTTGTATGAGTGCTACTTGAGTATTCATATGTTCAAATTTTGACAATTTTACATTGTGTACTATGCATATGGGAAAATGTCGATTGAGACTCATTATAACTTGTAAAGTGTTTTGTTTATCTCTCTCATTCTCTCTCATTCTGCTGATCATGTAAGATGCAGAACAAGGGAAAGAACAGGGAGGTGTTTCACAAAGCCTTTTTTCAATGACAAATAATAGAAATCAGTGACAAATCTGCTGATAACCAATCAGAAGCAAGGATTTCAGTAGCTTATAACACAAAAATTGTCATTTGTCACTGATGACAAGTTTTGTGAAACCCCCCCCCCCCCCCCCCCCCAGATGGTGGAATACCATATCACAGGATGGACATTACATTTAAGAAACAAGATATTGAAGAGATTACATTAAAGATAATGAAACACATTTATACAACCTAATACAGTGTTTCTAGGTACCAGATGGAGAGATTAGACTTGGTATCACCTGTATAATGTTTTGCCTCTCCCTCTCTCTCTCTCTCTTTCTCTCTCTCTCTCCCTCCCTCTCTCTCTCTCTGCTGATCATATAGAATGTCGTACAGAAGACAGAAGAGATGGTGGAATGCCTACATCTTACTCTATGAGAGGATGGACAACAACAAGAAAGAGCTGGACAAAGAGTTTGAAGGAATCACAATAGGTAAAGCAATAATAATCTATTATTTTTGCACAGCACATTGTAGGTTAGGATATAACATCCTCTGCATTTCCGAAGGGGTGGGATATTATTGCTTAACCTCTTTTAGCCATTATCGGCTCTCATTGCATTTAGTAGACTTTCTGCAATTGTATACTTTATGTTACACAGGGCTATGGAACATGGGACTTTGCATGCTGAGTTTCCTTGCAAATTATTTTTACCTCATTTATTTGATATTCCTAATAAAGAGGAAAAAATTTACGGCAGCTTAGAAGCTTAGAATTGTTAAGATCTTGTTGCAAACGGAAGCCAAAGATTTTTTTTTTTTTTGGGGGGGGGGGAGGGGCTTACAATGGCATATATTCCTTTGAAAAGAAGCAATGCATTTGAAATTATTCTTATTTTGTTGGTCGCCTATTTACTCTTTATTTCTTCAGCACCCAAGATGCTGTACAAGATGCCTCCGGCCATCCAGCGCAGTGTCCGCAAGCAGAACATCCAGTTCATGCATAGTCGCATGCAGTATAGTCCAGAGTACTTCCAGTTCGTCCGGAAGCTGGTCACCTGTAACGCAGGTCTCTTCAGTCCCCCACAGGGTCAGGAACTGCAGCTGGTAAGTCCCTCGGAGAGGATGTACAGCTGTAGATTCCTTTGTTGCTTATCACTATATAGCAGTCCATGAATCCAAACATTCCAGCTTAAAGATAAAGTTTAGTTCTGGTCATGCGATTGCATTGTGAAAGAAACGTTGTGGAATCGATCAGGGAAGGTTGATTATCTAGCATATAAGTATTGGTGTGTACTGCAAGGTTCTGGAATCGTCAAAATGATGAGAAATTTAGCCCAGTCTTGATAAAGTTACAAGCACTGTACACAGAAAGATGTGTATGGGACTACACAAACATGTGGCATAAAAATCTGTCCCAAATTTTATGATGTTACATGCCATATTTAGAATATTAAGGCATTTGGAGAGCCATGCTTTTTTATGCAGCATTTTATATCAAATGTTCTTCCACACTTGATGATAACGCTCACAAATTGTTGTTCACCTCTTCCCAGAACTCAAGCTTCTCTTTAAATGCAGAAGGCTTTAAGTCAGGACCAAGATTAGGATTAAGATAGGATTAGGCCCTAGGGTCAGCAAGGTTGGGATTAACAGCGTCAATCAAAAACTTAACCAAGGTTAAGTTTTGAATTTTTAATCTAATTTTGAAAGTATAAGTTCTTGTTAAATGAAACTTGGACTAAAGGGTTATCAAGTATTCCCGATCATGTGAGGAGAATTTCAGGTCACAAAGTCAAGGTCAAAGGTTATTTCAGGCCAACAAACTTAGACTATGATGTGGCATGATGTTTCTTCATATTTCATGAAAGTTGTCAATCTTGGTACAATAATAGTAAATAATTCTTCTGACGACTCTTAAGTCAATATTCACTTCAAAATGCTGATTATATTCAGAGAATTTCATATTTTGGGGCCTGCTAATGGGCCACCCTGCCTATAAATAATGTCCAAACCTCAATTTTTCATAATATCGAGTTGCGTAATGCCCTCATTAAGTGAAGATATTGATTTTATCCTTTGTGCTTGTTTACTTTTGCAGACGACCGAGTCGGAAGAACTAGCCATGCTTAGTATTCAGCTGGCTTCAAGGTTCCTCTTCACTGTTGGACTTCATACCAAGAAGACGCTTAGGTTTGTATTCATAAAGGACCGGTCACACCCACTCTTACAATGATTATAACAATGTGTAATTCCCTAATCCCTTCTATTTTTACTTAGAAAATGCACCGGAAATTGTTCTAGTTTTCATCCTAATCGTGAAAGATAATGAACAGTAGTGGAATTGAAAAATGGGAATGGAACTTGTTTTATTTTGTCTCATTGTTCTGCCTGTATCAAAAGATACATGTACATGTAAGAGATATTTGTTCATGATTTCTGTTGAAGTTTTGTAAATATCTGGAAAGGATCAGCAGATCTACAACCCTCCTTCGCCCACTGTCTCCAGAAGCGGATCTAGAGGGGGGGTTGGGGGGGTTGCAACCCCCCCCCAAAAAAAATCCGGGGACCATTTTTTTAAATCTTATCTTTTTTTTTTAAACTTGTAATTTTATTTTATTCTATTTCTATGTATTTATTTCATTTATTATTATTATTATAATTATTATTATTATTATTATTATTATTATTATTATTATTATTATTTCTTTTTGGGGGGAGGGGGGGGGGGGGGGTTGGGCGAACAAATGTCACAGAGTCCCTTGCCCCCCCCCCCCCCATCAGCTTTTTTGAGGACACGGGCCACCGCCGAAGTGACAAGCTAGGCCAGCGTTGCCGATTCTCATCCCCAAAATCCCCACATTAAAAAAAAAAAAAAAAATTGGGGGATTGTTGAAGTCTTTGGGGATGAAAAATAAATATTTGGGAATGAAAATAATATTGAGTTTTATGAAAAACGAATTTGGGGATTTTCTGTCAAAATTTGGCAACTTTGGGGATATTTTAAGTGTCGTTTGGGTGGGGATTTTGTGAAGATTTAACCTGGCAACGCACGCTTCAGAACCGTGCTCATCTAATGTAGTGATAGTTGTAGCTCGAAGGCAGTGGTTCGTGTAGATTCTAGACGTGTTAGCTGCAATGCTAATGGTCTTCAATTTGGATCCCAAAGTGTTTTTGCCAACAACCTGATGATCATACCACGGCACACTTTGTTGTTGTGACCCGTCTCCAGCATTGACGACATCTTCAGGAGCTATTGATTTTGGCCGTTGCCAAAAAAAGGGAAAGCCAGGGTTCAAATGTGAAATGTAATCGCAAAACGACTTCACAGGGCAATTTACATCCTTTGTCTCATACATGCGACCATACTGGCTCCTTGTGTCATCGTTGTTGTCTCCTCTGTGATTTTTAGTCAACTTGTCCTTTGCAAGATAAACGTACCTCCTGTCACTTGAATCTGTAGCAATGTCAAAATCATCTACCTGTAGATCTTTAACATTTTCTCTGCCTCTGTTACACAGATGTAACATTAAGTTTATGAAAACAGCGTTCTGGAGACCTTTAGGAGTAGAACGGTCCAACGCTGGAGAAGACAAAATTTTGCCAAAGTCTTCCTTGCTTATAGGTTCCTTGTGTGTTATTGCACCCTTTCCCTCAGCTTTCAGCTTATGAAGGACTGCAACAAACATGTCATTCGCACGCCTAAATGCACCACTATTTACGATGTCCATTGACTTTGTTTTTAGAAAGTGTTTCTGGAGGCCATAGCCACGGGCGTAGACAACGGGGGGATGAGGGGGATGCATCCCCCCACCTCACAAGGTGTGGGGGGGGGGGGGGGGTGGCATGTACAATCATCCCCCCAGGTTTTGGGGAATGATATTTGCTTAATTAATAAGTCATAATGATGATAATAATAGTAATAATAATAATGATAACAATTATAATATTAATAATAATAATTATGATGATGATAATAATAATCCTCATCATTATTGTAATTGTGTTTATTGTTATTAGCCGCATTCACACGGTGAAAGCCAATTCAGACGGTAAAAAAAAAGAAAATCTTACAAGTATTTTGTGGTTATCTTGTGGTTTGGAAACCACAAGATAACCACAAGATTAAACAGGCGCGGATCTACGGGGGGGGGGGGGGGGGGGGGGGGGTTTAACCCCCCCCCCTTGGGCGGCCCAAAAAACAAACAAACAAAAAAGGGGGAAAAAAAGAGGGAAAAAAAGAAAAAAAAGATAGAAAAAAGAACGCACGCTGGAGAGAAACCCTTTCAAGTGCAAATATTGTGAGAAGATATTCAACTCATCTGGTAACTTAACCAAACACATGATAACTCTGGATATAACTGTGTATGTAACTGTTACTTGATTTAAAAAGACGTTATCATGCACTGCTTTTTATGGTCTCCATTGTGTTAATAGATGCCAGGAAAACATCATTTACGGGGTTCAAATAAACACCCCCAAAAAAAAATCGGCTTGCCGCTTCGCGGCTCGTGGACGATGCTCCGCATCGTCATTATTGGTCAACCCCCCCCCTTAGCAAAAAGCTAGATCCGCCCCTGGTCTCTGCTCAGTAAGATCAGGGATCTATACACCATTATTGACATGCAGCCTACTACAGGTTTCCACATGTCTGTTGCATGATGTCATCATTGTAATTGAAATGTTGGGTCATGCAAATATATTGTCTCTATTGCTCATTTGTTTGATATTGTACTTGAGGAAAAAATGAAAATCCTCAGCAGTTAAGTTTAGTGGTATTTTGCTTATTATCAACTAAAAATGAATCTGATGATTTGTTTTCTTGTTGTTGTTGTTGCATTGACCAACATTTTTGAATGATCTTTTACAGAGGTCCAGCCAACGACTGGTATGATGCCCTCTACATTCTGTTGAGGGTTAGTAAGATGGTACGAAGATGGTTTGCTCAGAACATGCTCTTCTCAGAACCTGCCAGGTTCTCAGAGTATCTTCTAGACTGTCCCAGCTCAGAGGTGAGTTCAACCTGCTCCTCCTTCCCCCTTTTCTCTTTTTTTGTTTTCTTGAATTTCTGTCTCTTCTTCTCTCACATCTCCACCTGGTTTCATTACTTTGCTCTCTCTTTCTCTTCTCCCCTTCCATCATCCTCTCTCCCTCTTTCCCTCTCTCTCTCTCTCTCTCTCCCTCTCCCTCCCTCCCTCTTCCCCTCTCTCTCTCTCTCTCTCTCTCTCCCTCCCTCTTTCCCTCTCTCTCTCTCTCTCTCTCCCTCTCCCTCCCTCCCTCTTCCCCTCTCTCTCTCTCTCTCTCTCTCCCTCCCTCTTTCCCTCTCTCTCTCTCCCCTCTCTCTTTCTCTCTCTCTCTCTCTTTCCCTCTCTATCTCCCAGCTCTGACCTGAGTTCAAGACAAGACCCCAATGCAATAAAGCACTTAAAATGACTTCAGGTTGATTTCTTGAAAGTCTTCATGATCTTGTTGATATGAAAGTGAAATCATTCTTTTCGTCTTTCCCTCCTCTTTCTTCCCTTCTTCAGGTGAGGAACGCATTTGCCAAAGTGATTGTCATCCTAGCTCACTTCTCACAGCAAGACGGAGCATTCCAATCATCCTTGCAAGGTAACTTGGGAAAAACCGTCAGCAGTACTATTTTCAATAAAATAGGGATGTCTTTTAAAATGGCACTAATAACTGTGCATAAGATGTTGATTAGGAAAGAGGTAATATATTGTTATACAAATAATACACAGGTGTGAGTGCATTGCCATAACTTCACGAACGAAAACCTGTGTATTATTTGTTTTATAAAATGGGTCGACAATCTTACTAAGCAAGGTCATAAGATTTCCCCTTGCAACCTTCATCCACGGTTGTTATCACCAAGATTTGCATCCCATGCAGATGTTACTGTGCATATAGTAAAAAATAATGCACAGTTATGTGATCCATTTTGACGCTTCTCATTGGCTACATACTTGAACCCATTTTATAATGTATGTTATCATAAAATGGAAAAGTGATTTGAATGTAGGAAATGCAGGAACCCTGATTTCAAATGAATGATTCAAAAGGCATATTGATAGGACATGAGAAATGATAATGATACACAGTATTTATAAGGCACCGTATTTCTGTATAAGAAATAATCAAAGATGCTGGCACTACCAGACCATTCAATGCAATAAACACCGTTGATATCCCACAGATTCAAGAAGTAAACATTTCTTTCTTGCAATTACAGGATCCACATCACCAGATAGCTCCACGACGCTAAGCAATCACCTCTTGAGGGCGGTATTAGATCTACTGAAGAAGGAGGTGTCGGAACACGGTAGACACCTGACGCAGTACTTTCAACTGTTCCAGATGTATGCCAATCTGGGAGTCGTTGAGGTAAGTGCACATAGTGATCCTTCACTCTGGTGGCAATTGTTACTAACCTTATTGTGTCAAATTTGTAGGGTTAGGGTTAGGATTGCAATTGGGTTTTAGGTCCGGTTTAAGGTTAGGGTTAAGATTAGGCCATGTAATCTTGAGTTCGTGATTGATGTGAAGAATTCAGTTAGTGTTGGATATTGACCATCGGGTTATTGTGGCCAGAGCTATTAAAACATACTAATCATTTATCAATTGCAGTCAAGGGTGAGTCATTGCAAAGGGTTACAGAAAGATATTTCCAAAGTAGCCCAAAATGTCCATGGATGCTTACAATTGTTTGTGATTTTCTTTGAGACATCTGTTTGTAGGAACAAAAGCATGCCTAAAATTTGTTGTGTTGAATGACTATGTGTAAAGTTGCCATATTGATAAATATTTAAAATTTGTATATATATATATATATATATATTTTTTAATACTTTGTTCGCCTTATTGCAGAGAACACAACTTCTAAAGTTGAACGTTCCTGCCACGTTCATGCTGGTGGCCCTAGATGAGGGTCCTGGTCCACCTATCAAGTATCAGTACGCTGAGCTGAGCAAGCTCTACTCTGTGGTCTCCCTTCTCATCAGATGCTGTGATGTCACCTCTAGGACAAAGTCATCAATGGCGGTAAGTGCATCATCTTCTCAACAGAAGTGTTCCAAGTGACCCTACAATGACCCTGCAATGTCAGTGGCTATCTGGTAGGATTAAATTCTAATTCACTGCAAAATTTATGTGCCAAGAAAGAAGGAAGCAGAGCCCTGGCTGGTGATAGTTTAGTGAACGCTCTTCAACCCTCACATGAAAGGTTCTGGGGTTGATCTGTGTCGGGTGTTTTCGCCGTTGGTTGTCCTGCCATTATTAAGTCCAACTTAAAGTCAATCTTAATCTTTGTGAAACACCCCCATGTCATTATTTTGCTTTTTCTTGAGAAAAAAAATGTTATGATTCCTGTCTGCTTATCTATCTATCCAGGGTGTGAATCCTCTACCTAACCCTCATGGTGATCACATGTGCTCCAAGCCTATCATGCCCATCCAGGCACAGGTAGCAGACCTTCTCTTCTCTCGAGGGGCGTACATCAAGAAACTCATCGAGGACTGCAATAACTCAGAGGAGACGCCCAAGCTTCTCAAAGTAAGTATGAGAGGGTAATAGAGTACCGAAGCTGTGACATCATAAAAATCTATTTTTAGAATTTCTCAAATTTTTCTTCATTTTCCGAAAGAGCATCAAACATAAAATCTGAATGTTTAAAACCAATTGAATGTGTAAAGTATTGGCTGAGATATGACCATCTGAATAAATAGAGTCCTAGTCCTATAGGAACTCATTGATATTGCTCTGGTTCGTAATGTGTTTCCTTCCTTCCTTGTTCTGTGCCTACGTAGTTCTGCAGCTGGGAGAACCCGAACTTCACCTTGGTGGTCCTAGGTGAACTGCTGTGGCAGGTGGCCTACTCCTACACCTATGAGCTCAGACCTTACATGGATCTTCTACTACAGATCCTACTACTACAAGACTCCTGGCAGAACCATCGCATCCTCAACGCCCTCAAAGGTAGGTCAGGAGTCAGTCATCTGCTTTCTTTCTTATTTCCGCAAAGCCCATGGAGGGTCAGAGTATCCCAGACCCAAAGGTCTAAATGAATCAGCTTTGTGCCCTCAAAATGGCATCAATCATTAACATATTTTACTCTTACATTCCTTTATAAATGAAAATTACAAAGTGAACCCCCCCCCCCCTAAAAGATGACATTTTGTATATTTCAGATAGATATAGAAATTAGAATGAGCTTAATCTTACTAACTGAGGTCGTGAATAATGTTATGTATTTGAATATTTAATATTATAGGGCATTGTGAGCTTTCTGGGCTCTAACCTTGATTTCATCAAAGGGTTATGGCTGCGTGATGGAGCAGCAAATTCATATTTGCTTTTTATGCCTCTGTAACGAAGTAGCCGGAGGCATTATGTTTTCGGGTTGTCCGCCTGTCCGTATGTACGTCTGTACTTCTCGTGATCGCGTTATCTCAAGAACGATTGATGGATTCCTGCCAAACGCAGGACATGTATGTATCTTGCTGAGCCAATGAACTGATTAGAGTTTAGGGTCATGAGGCCAAAGATAAAAGGGTCATTCATGTATATGAAAAATAGCTTGTAATCACAATATTCCGAGAACCTGTTATTGGATTGCAATTAAACTTGAATTTGAAAAATTGCTTCTGATTTGGTTTGTGAAATCGCTCTATGGCGGAGGCATTATTTTTGGCTGCACGCATTCGAAGTTCCATCTAGTTTGTAAATATTTACCGCGTATTGCCAGTTACACTGCCGCTGCATGTCTGAACGCCCGTAAAGGGTACAGATTTCTTATTTTCGAAGGCATACCGTGCTAGAAATTTCTAATTCTTATTTTCAAATGTTGGCAGGTATGATAAACTATAATATGGAAATAACAGCCTGTGGAATGGACATTTCTGCATTGGTGTGTCGCGCGTGGTTGTAAGTTTCGTTTTAATGAAACCTTGTTTTTGCTAGAAATTCTTTTTTTTTCCATCATGGTTCTTTGTTTGGGTTGAACAAGGTTGGCAGCTCTGGGTTTAGGGTCAGTAGAAGGGTTAGGGTAAGCGTTTATCCAGGGTTGAAGTTAGGAATTTTGATTGTAGAAATAATTGGCAGTGAGAAATTGTGACAGGAGGTCAGGAGCATGTGCTTAATGATCAATGTGTTTCTCTGTTTTCATATCAGGAATCCCAGATGATCGGGACGGTCTTTTTGACACGATCCAGCGGTCCAAGACGCACTACCAGAAGCGAGCGTACCAATGCATCAAGTGCATGGTTGCACTCTTCAGTAACTGTGAGGCGGCACACAGACTGCTCCAGTCGCACGGTGATCTCAAGCGAAAGTGGAACTGGGCTGTGGAATGGCTAGGAGATGAACTAGACAGGGTAAGTCAGGAGTAAAGGAATTTTAATAAATTACATTTCTGTAGTGTTTAGTTCAAAAGCTTCTAAGCTTTTTATAGGTTTATCAAGGGCATGGTAGCAACAAGGTATATTCAACTCCTTCTGGTTCATAAATGAATTACCAAGAATGGATGTAAAGATCATGAGGTATTGTTTTTGGAAGAAGAAGGTAATTTTTGTTAGTCCATAAAATACATTTTTCAGCACTTGTAATTGTTAGGCAGGCAGGATACTGCGTAAACACTGTCTTGTATACAAACAAAGGTTTACAGTCTATATAAACCAGCTCGTTGATCTCACATTCACATTCATATTGTCCACAAACCTTGCGAGTCTTCTTCATTCTATAATATATCCAAAGTTTGCCACTCTATACTCAAATGTGCATCTTCTTTTTTATCTTCATATATCAAATTGAAATGTAACTACATTGTACCACATACATCTATGAATCTTGGTGTACACCCCCTCTTTTTTTATCTTTTTTCTCTCTCTCTCTCTCTTTCCCCCTTTTACCAATATTTGTGCCTCCATACCGTATTCATATTATTATGTATCCATTGAGGGTAGTCATGCTATCAAGCTTTGCTTACTTTGTCAACCCTCCTGTTTGATGTTTTCGATTAGTTACAGCCAGCCTTACTTTATTCGACATTATATTCTTTTGAAATGTGTAAAATTTGCAATGGTTTGTTTGTTATATATTTGTAAAAATGCAAAAGAAAAAGAAAATCAAACAGAAATAAATAAATTAAATCAAATCAAATCAAATCAAAAGAATAAGAAAACTAGATGGAATTTTGACTGCGCGCAGTCGAAAATGATGCCTCCGCCATAGAGCAATTTAAACAAGTTTGGAGTTTAAATCTCCAGTGGTTCTTGAGATATCATGATAACAATCTCAATGTATGGAATTTCATAAGTTGACCTCTGTGACCCTTGACCTTTGACCTACGTGCTCCAAAATCTAATCAGATTGTCTTCCTATGGTGATACACACTATCATTAAGTTTGAAGTTTAAATCTCCAGTGGTTCTTGAGATATTATGATATGGTGATACATACTATCATTAAGTTTGAAGTGAAAATTCTCCAGTGGTTCTTGAGATATCGCGATAACGATCTCAATGTATGGAATTTCATAAGTTGACCTCTGTGACCCTTGACCTTTGACCTACGTGCTCCAAAATCTAATCAGATTGTCTTCCTATGGTGATACACACTATCATTAAGTTTGAAGTTTAAATCTCCAGTGGTTCTTGAGATATTATGATAACAATCTCAATGTATGGAATTTCATAAGTTGACCTCTGTGACCCTTGACCTTTGACCTACGTGCTCCAAAATCTAATCAGATCGTCTTCCTATGGTGATACATACTATCCTTAAGTTTGAAGTTTTTACATCTCCAGTGGTTCTTGAGATATCATGATAACAATCTCAATGTATGGAATTTCATAAGTTGACCTCTATGACCCTTGACCTTTGACCTACGTGCTCCAAAATGTAATCAGATTGTTTTCCTATAGTGATACACACTATCACTAAGTTTGAAGTTTAAATCTCCAGTGGTTCTTGAGATATCATGATAACAATCTCAATGTATGGAATTTCATAAGTTGACCTCTGTGACCCTTGACCTTTGACATACGTGCTCCAAAATCTAATCAGATCGTCTTCCTATGGTGATACATACTATCCTTAAGTTTGAAGTTTAAATCTCAAATGGTTCTTGAGATATCGCGCTAACAAACTCAATACAAGGAATTTCATAAGTTGACCTCTGTGACCTGTGACCTTTGACCTACGTACTCCAAAATCTAATCAGATCGTCTTCCTATGGTGATAAATACTATTCCCGAGTCTTAAGTTTAAATCTTAAATGGTTCTTGAGATATTGTGATAACGGTCAAACGGGACGTACGGACGGACGTACGGACGGACGGACGGACGTACGGACGGACGGACGTACGGACGGACAACCCGAAAACATGATGCCTCCGGCACCACCTTTGGTGGCGGAGGCATAAAAAAGTCAGCTCTGACTAGACGGTGTTGAATCCAGTATAAGTCATTGATCTCTCTCAAATTCCCTATTTTGATCAAATTGTATTTCATATCATTCTTCATTCGTGTATTTTGTCTTTGACTGTCTACAGAGACCCTACTCTGGCAACACGCAGTATACATACAACAGCTGGTCTCCGCCTGCACAGAGCAATGAGATCTCCAATGGTTACTTCCTCGAGAGATCTCACAGTGCTCGTATCACGTTAGAGAAGGCTTGCCAACTATGCCCTGAGGAGGTGAGTGAAGGACAGGATCAGACCAAGGCTGGGGTGACCACATATTCTCTGGTGACCATTAGTTCAGGCTTTATATAGGGGTCAGATTGCAAAGGAACTGCATTTTATTTTAGGTTTAGGGCTTGTGTAAGGTTCAAGGCATAGTTTAACAATGTTAAGTCTGAGATGCACGGCCGTACGTGCTACCAGTGTCTGTGTTATGGTGTAATATTGAAGCCCTAAAAAAAAATCAAGCTTCAAAATGATCAAGAAGTGCCTCAAAAAAGTAAAAAATCTGTGAGTGACCGGTTTTACCATACTCGCATCCCCCAATTGACTATAGTGTTATGAAAACCGTTTGGCAAATGCAAAATTGTGTTTCGATTTCCAATCATGAATATCTTGATAATGAGACAGGCGATCGGCTTGTAAAAGTCATGGAGTTCCTGACTGACCTAAAGGTTTATAATTATGATTGCAGCATGAGCTAAATCCATGATTTTGTTTCAGAATCTGAGACAAGTTACCGGATCCCTTTAAGTGTTTGGTCCATGTTTGAAATTAAGCGTTGGGTTAGTGAAGGATATTGACGGCAGGACAATTATCGCCATAGCATGGATCTTACAACCTAAGGGCTCTGTCAATGAAAAATGTTGTAAATAACATCTTCCACATCGTGCCCCCCTCTCAAATAATGAAATGGAAGCTCTTATTACCCATCATGTGAAAAAATATGTTTTGACTAATACATGATGATACAAATTTTGCTGAGAAACCGCCTACTAATCTATATATTTGGTAAATTATTATATCTATCTGGACCGGATAGATATCGCGCACATGTCGCGTAGTCCCATATACATCTTGCTATGTACAGTGCTTGTAACTTTTCCAAGACTGGGCCAAATTTTCAGAACCTTGCAGTACACACCAATACTTATATGCTAGATGATCAACCTTTTCTGATCCATTCCACAACGTTTCTTTCACAATACAATCGCATGACTAGAACTGGTCTTTATCTTTAAAGATTGTAAAGCACTATACACAGATGTTATTTGTGGGACTGGACATCATGTGGCATCACAGTTTGGTTTTTAGTTTTTAACTAATTCTAGTTTTATTTGTAAAATTAAGCCATTTCTAGAGAAGTCATTTTCATGTGATATTATTACGATGATGTTCTTCTAGTCAGGAAGGTAAAGCACGCAGAAACTCAAGAATTCTATTTCATCTTTACCAACACTCAACCTTGTTTATAATGTGACCCTAGGAACCTGATGAACCTGAGATGATGGATGAACATGAAGGTTCTGACCCCCAGGACGAAGCCCCTGTCCCTTCAACCTATCCACAATCACTACCACACCTACAGACAGCTCCACCCAACAATCAGCAACAGCAGCAATCTAGTCCACCACCTTCATCATCCTCATCGACATCGTCATCGCAGCAACAGTCACAGCAGCAGCCGCCTGTCACCGCACAAGTAAGTCATGGATTGAAAGTCCAGCATTTGTTATGTTTCGTTGAAAGAAGCTTTTGCATGGTGTATCATTTCTTTTTCATTCATTTCATTTATTTATGGAAATTTGAAGTGGGATTTAAATAAGCAACATAGAACAGTGATAAGAGAAATATATACATAGATGATGGATGCATGTGAGCAGAATTTAGATTTTCAGAATAACTCACAAACTAAACAGTTTGGCATTCCTCAGCTATCATCTTTCTGATGGGCACACAAGCCCGACTGCTATCCCATTTAAAACTAGATAAGTGGTTTATTTGCTTTCTTTATTCATATTTTTGTCTTACAAAAAATATATCGTAAAACAAATGACTGATATGGAATATATATTTCCATAGGGGTAGATTACATTTCATGATAATTTGATTTAGGTAGGTAATACTTTTTCTATCTGGGTGTGAATTCTTTCTGTCTTCAGAACAGTCAGATGCAGCCACAAGTGCCCAACAACCAGCAACCAGCCCACGACACTCCCCCAACCTCAGGCCAGGTGGGTAGCCTCCACAAGCACCCTAACACCATCAACAACACTCTGCATAGCCCAGAGCAGGGGGGCACTACCAGCCCTACCACCACCACCACTACCACTACCCCTGCACCTAACCCGCCAACCAGCCCACCGGAGGAGCAACTAGATGAGAAGATAGAAGGTGGTAACAACAAGGAGACTTAGTTTGTGGGCCGCCCAAAGAGGGTGCTGCTTTTAGACAGACAGCAATGGCAGCAAAATCCCTTGAGGACTTAGTGGAAGATAGTCAAGGATCAAGTAAGGATGCTTCTGTTATATGGCATCTACACATCCCTTGGAGGCACCTTTGATGGTTTGGCATTGATTCACAGAGCACTACAGAGCACTTAGTGGATATTGGTGTATCCTTTGAGGAACACTTTTCTTTGGTCAAAGACCAAGGGGCAAGGATGCTTCGTTTGCATGGCGTCTACAAATCCCCAAGAGGAACTTCATGATTTATCAATGTTCTAAAGAGCATTTTGTGGATATTGTATCCTTGGTTGAGGAATAAGTGAGGATGTTTCCTTTGCATGGCGCCTGCATATCTTCTAGAGGAACTAACAAAGATGTAGCCATGTTCTAAAGAGCGGTTAGTGGATATTGTTCTATTCCAGCTGAACTCTTCACCAAGAAGGAAATTCCTGATCGCATTGTTCTCTTTGCTTGGATACATTGCGATGCTGAGGATCGTCAAAGGCTAAGTGTTTGGAGATAGCGACAGTTCTGTTCAAGTTTTATCAATAGAGGAGAACTGATTTTTGTTTTGTTAAACAGCACCCTAGCTGTTTGTTTCTGAACCAATGTGTAGCTCCTACATACTTTTCGCTAGTAGGGTAAATTATACAATAGTCGTTATAAAGGAAAGGAGAGGAGTCAGACATGCAAGCATGTAGAAATAAGGATATTTCCTGTAATATTGCAAAGCTTTTCTTGAAAGGTAAGGCTTGTTTCAGCACAAAGCAGTTAAACACCTCACAAAATATGTGATCAAATGAAAATCACTTCATATCTATATTATCTGCACCTTGTCCATATGGAAGGGTTATTTTGTTGGGGTAATGTCTTACCCTGCCTATACTCACTAATCTGTATGTTATACATACCGGTATTAGTATCTGTATGATATAGACAACAGTGGTGCATATTGTGTATGGTAAGGTCTGTTGAGAGCCAGAAGGCTGTTGACTCTCTTTAAAAAGGGAGTTAAATGCCATTCTGGCAATTTCATTTTACTGATGGGATGTTTAAGTTGTAGTTTACTGCCTCTTAATAGACCAAAATTATCTTTCTACACTGAAATTTTTGGGGAAAATGTTAAATATCTGGCTAGGAGGTAACTATGGATGATGCCTAATAGGAATGCATATTGATGAACTTTAAAATGTGTTTGCTTGGTAAAGGTGGATGCGTATGTGTGTAAGATAACCCATAGACAGGAGAATGGATTAAGCAGCTGGTTTAATGTGCAGCTTGATACTGTTTAGGGGCTTCCCCTGATTCTGTTAGGGGCTTACCCTGTTCATTTTCAAAACTTGTCATCAGTCATTGAGACTATTCATTATTAATGGATTTCTTGAAGACCATCCCATCGGTGCCCCATTTCATGAAAGTCTTATTGAATAACAACTTCTACTTTCCTTTGACAAATCTGCCTATAAGACAAAAAATAAGATAACGCCAATCACCTTTTCAATCAACCTTGGACTCCACTTTCAATATCTCACAAGTTGTGTGCATGAGTTTGTTTGGGATTCAATCTGTACAGAGAAGCATGCAAGCACAATGTAACATGTTACCCATTACATTCAAACTAATCGTTCCTAGTTTTGCAAACCAGTGTACATACATGCTATGGTATAAGTACAGGAGATATATCACTTTGCAAGACTCTTCAATTAATACATTACAGCATCTTGCATGTTCGAATTGAGGGAAATGTAGAAAGAGGAAATTCTGGGAATGAATATAGCATTTCTCTGCAATATTCAGGGAGATGTTTTTTATTCTAACTATGATTCAATTTGTATATGATGTGATTGATTACAGTGTACATGAAAACTATGGGTTTGTTACATTAATGAAGCAGTAACTTTCATATAGTAAATTCTGTCTAGATGTGATGGAGGTTACAAGAATGCAATGTAACACGAGTTTTAAATTGGCAACATATCTTTCAAGAATGTAAATGCTTAGATAACTTGCATGGGCAATAGTTATCGCGAGAGCATCTATTTAACCTTAAAGCACCATGTGTCTGTTTGTGCCCTTATGAAATGACGTCATGTATCGCTCTAAAGCTTGTCATAGAATGTGTCCAAAGTTTGTGGGTAGTCGTGCACTGTTGAGCTGTGTTAAGAAATATAGCACCTCTCTCTCTTGAAACAAGTTGGGGATTTTGTGCCGTTTTAAGTTCATCCATATGACTGACGGATAATAAGTTTTTTTGTGTGTGTTATTTTTTATTGTGTTGGTTGATATGCAATGAGACTTGTTTTGTTTTTATATAGATTTGATCTTTAGCTGTTTATTTGTTTGTAAATATGCAATTATCTTTGATAGAGAACAGAATGGATTTAAATAGATATCTGTTTCTGTCTTTCTCCCCTCCTCTATTTCTATCTGCCTGTATGTCTCTCACTCTCTCTCTCAGTGTTTGTCTCTCTCTGTCTCTCTCTCGCTCACTCTCTCTGCCTGTCTCTTTGTCTCATTGCATGTTCTCACATCTTAAGTGTCTCACTTCTCTGATTATATGACTCTGTTTTCTCCATTCTCTGTCTCTCCTTTCCTTCCTATCTCCCTCTCCTCCTTCACCTCCCCCCTCTCTCTTTCTTTCTTTCTCTCTCTCACATACACACACACTTTTTCTCTCCCCTATCTTTTTTGCCATCAAACAATCACATTTGCAGTTCTTGTAGTTGATGCCATTTGATTCAAGTTATTTAAGTTGATACAATTTCAATGAAGGATGTATAAACATTTAATACATCATATGTTTATTTATATTGATTTAATGTATCCTTCTTAAACGGTTATGTGTACAGGCCTAAGAAGTGATGACAGATTTTTTATTTTTGTTTCCCTTTTCCCCCAAAGACTAGTTTTTAAGAGTCATCTACACTGATGTTGGTAATTTTATGGACAATTTTTCCCTCACTATTTAGTCATTCCGAGCCTGTGCTGGGAAAATACTTTTCCAATCATTAACATTCAAGTCAGTCTAAAAGTCAAACAGGAAATAAATAAATTTAGTCTTACAGGAGTAAATGAAAGATCTCAACTTTCTACTACTCCGCATACGGTGTACTTGGGGAAGGTCAACAAAGACTGTTATTATAACATAATTCCCAATACAGATGTTTTATTTTTTTACTAAAACTACTACATTTAAGAAGGAGGAAAAGGGTTTGTCCTATTACATTTCACCCCATTTTTTTTAAATCAAGAAAAAATTGAGCTATGTGTGAGCTAAATCTGTGTCTGTTATTGTTAATGTAAAAAGAAATAATATTGAAGCCATAATATGATATGAAATAGGTATACTCGTAAATATTTGTCTTAATTAATTGTGAGAGGTAGGTTGTTTGTGAAATTGTATTCACAGCGTTTGACAGTGCACATTCTCACAAAGAAATATGTCATTGAATGGAAATTCCCCTCAATGTTAGAAATGCATATAAACTATAAATACTATGTTTGATTCTGTTTATATTATTTAAATTCATCTATTCCAAGAAGTATCGTGTTTTTTTATGTGTTTTTTTCCTCAATGGATTTCTATGTACCCAGCGCATGTAAAACTACCGTTCATATATTTAAAAGTCGTTATATTTCGATGTGAATGGGAGGACTTATTTGATAATGGAGTGTGTTTTTGCTATGAAAAAAAAATGGAAGAGACACTGTAAAATTTATGGAAGCGACATTGTAAAATTGATGGAAGATATTTTGCACTGATTAGGTTTCTATTGTGTTTTAGATAGTCACAAATGAATATAAGGATTTAAGCAGACTGAAAGGATGTATGTATGTATGTATGTATGTACTTAACATGTACTATCACTGTATGTCTTTAAATATTACGTAGATAAATAAGAATGAGCCCTCGGTCCATTATATTGTGGATTTCTTAGGCATGTAAAGTAATATGATTCTCAAAGCTTTTATAGGCTTGCTCTGTGTTTACATTTAATCATATTATGTAAAGAGAGAATGATGTAAGAATGAATTCTGAGCCATTTTTGCTTCACAATTGTTGGCTTATGAGATATATTGTGACACTAAGTGCTGTTTTTTTTCTTTTTTGTTTGTTTCATCTGGAAAGAGCAAGTTTCAATGAGGAATAAATGATAGCTTAAGATATTAAATCACTGTTGCATTGTTTTGAAATGGTAGTCAATAATGCTGCGCGAATGTTCAGATAAAAAGTGTTATGAATTTCATAGTGAGAAATACAGAATATGAGTTCATTTGGATGTTGATGAAAGGGTATGTGAATGAAGGATTGTTATAATATGGGAGAGGGGGGAGTTGGAGAGAGATTTGATCTCTAGGGAGCTTTCTTCTGCCATGTGAATCTACCTTTTGGGAGGTAGTACAGGAGGACGACGAGAAGGATAAAAAAGAGGAGGAGGAGAAGAAGGAGGAAAAGAAGAAAAAGAAGAGGGGGGGGGGGGGGGAGAGAAAGAATTGTTGTAAATAATACTTTATTGGGTTTTATGAAGCAAACCTAAGAAGGAAAAATCGTGATCGCTTCAAAATTTATGTAGGTATTAACTTCATGTATATTCTTTTTTTTTTTTTACAACAAAACAGCATGCGGTCTCTTTGACTTGATACAAAATTTCTTTAAAAATGAAAAAACACCTTTGTTAAAATTATCCTTTTAAAGAAATACTTCAAAAATGATATTAAAGGTAGTGCAAACTTTGGGAAAATTTTGAAAATTGGATGGATAGTAATTCTTTAAAATTGTGATACATTGGGATGTCCCTGTGGATGTTTTATAAGCACTAGAAAATTTTGCCCCAAAAATACAATTCTGCTTTCGAGAAATTGAATAATACAAAATTACCGGAGCTCCCATGTAGTTCCGATATATAATTTCCAAATGGGATTGTCAATTGTAGTAAGGAAACATGGTTTGAAAGCTAAAGTAATATCAGTCTTGAGAGGGAGCTATACAGCATATTAAATAGTTTATCATTCACAATTTCATCACTTTAGACTCGATTTCAACCGCAACAACGATCATTGAAAATTGTAAAATCGCATGTGCTTCCAATATGTTCATTTGAACCACATTCATGACGTTATACCAAAAGTTTATACCTTTAACCGCAAACCCACTTTTTAAACATAACATGATTATTACAGGGTTCATTCGTTTGAAGTTATGAATAAGTTACATTTATTCCGATTCATTCACAAGTCATGTAGTATGACCATGCAAGCACTACATTTCAAAAATCATTGTCCATTTTAACTCCAACACTGACGCAATCTCCAAGCTTATATAGCTAGTGGGAAAAGACGCTAAATTGCTACTCCTGCTTGCACGTATTATCATACTAGTCTTTCACAGAAATCGAACTTTACACGTTTCAAGTGAGATCTTCATTTCAAATTCTAACACGAAGATCAAATTGGATATATCTTTATTTTAACAAGCCTTTCCCTGCTCAGTTGCTCATTGGTAATCTAAAGAAGCGGTGTCTTTGATCCGCCATTGGCATTGCTGTAATGCCGGCAATCGTATAATAACAAGTTGATTGTGGTGTAATCAAATTAGGCTGAAAGAAAAAGATCATCTTACTGGCATATATTGTCCTTAATTGGACAGTCAAACCTGTTTTTATTGAGGCCTCCCCAAAACGGGTAAAGGGGTCACTGTAGACAGGCGCGGATCACCGGGGCCGACGGACCTGCCCCACCACCCCCCCCCCCCCCCCCGGTCAAAAAAAAAAAGAATTTTCTCATGAATTAGGAAAAAAATATGTATTACTCTTATTGAATTAAACTGCATGTACTAGAATACTTCAACTGTATTATCATTATAGATACTTTTTTTCAAATGACTCTGGCCGAAATCAAGTGATCTAAATTCGAATGCAACACTGGTGGAGTCGAAAAAATAGTTGAAATATAAAAAACTCTCCGTGACACATATTGCTCACCATACTCAACCATAAAGAATGAGGTTGTAAATAGATTTCGTTAGGCCTGAATTGTGTCATTTATGAGAAGTGTTTGGGCTGATTTCGCGAGCTAATGTATCAAAAGATACCGCCATTAGTATGTAGGTCACTGTCTTTGCGTTTGAACAGAGCGCGAGACGGTTTCATTATGAGCAGATGACGAAAAAGGGGACAACCAGGGGCAACTATAGAGGGTGAGAATAGTCTGTGACATGATGATTGTGTGAGAGGGAGAGAGAGAATGAGAGAGAGTGAGAGAGAAGGAAGAAGCTATTGATAGAGGAGAAGGAAGAGACAGAGAGGAAGACAACAAGAGATAGGACACGGGGAAAGACATAGGGAGAGAGAGAGAGAGTTTGGAGTGAGGAAAAAAGATATTCAAGACAATAGTATTGAGAGAAAAGGGAAGAGATATAGAGATATAGAAGAACATAGCAAGAGGTGGACCCAGAGAAAGACAAATAGGAAGAAAGAGAGAGAGAAAGAGAAAAAGAGAGAGAGAGAAATAGAGAAAGAGGAAAAAAAAGGGGCGAGTGAGAAAGAGAAGATGGGAGGGGGGGGGGAGAATGGGACAGAGATGCCTGGACAGACAAACATCTAAAAAAAAATGGATGTAGAAAGAGAGCGAGCAAACTGTAAGCAATAGAGATCACTTGAAAATGACATCTCACACAGAGCGACATTTCTCCCTTCTACTGACACTTCATAAAACACTATCAATTTGTAACTTTATCATTAATTCTGATAAAAGTGATTTCATATCTCATCACGCATACTGATTTAGACTGCATTCTCAACATTTGCACACAAGTTACATTAATTATTGATGTCTTAGATAACCATTTCATACATGTTACACATGGGCAGTTCCATGTTATCTAACGAGTTCCTTAAGGCATCGTCTTTGATTTATTTTCTTTATCCCAAAATGAAATTGCCTTTGACGATTGACTAATGATTCTTTCTTGTATCATTGTTATTGGTCAATTTTCATATCGACAGAATTTTCATTTCTAGATGTGAAAACGAGAGATAAAGAGTCATACGTCATACAACTCGTAGGAGGCACATTGTACGTACTCGCCACAACCTATTATAATCACGTATGTCGTATAAGAGAGATGGTGCATACTAATTTTGTAAATATGATGATAGTATTCATAAAAAGTGTTTGGAATTATCCCAACAAATTAGACTCTCTGGTGACTTTTGCGTTATCATATTTCCCCGAAATTTAAACAAATTAACACACGAATAGACTGGAGGCGCAGTACTCATTCAACCCACTAAACCATTTTTAGAGGGCTTTAAACCTTAAGCAATTGGCGCTTGTAAAATAGCGACTGCCTGGAATGCTCCCCAGGGAGTGGAAAATGTGCATACATTGTGTTGCGGGTGAGCCTGAATCCGATGACCGGGGTAATAACATGTGATGCGCCTAGAAACAAAGTATTAGGCGCATTTTAAATGTGAGCTATTATTAAGTTACATGTATAATTATTTACGAATAATTTTACCAATTAATTATTAACAAAATGTACTCAAAATCTTGGACCCTCTTCTGATAAAAAAAAGAACAAGTAACAAAGAAAAGGTGAGCCATTAATTCTGACAACAGACATGGATTATCATGTCGTGCTTGGTGTACCATCTCATGCGACATGTCAGGCATCGAAAGGGCGTCGTCGACATCCGCTTCTTGGCAGGGAGCTTGCAGTCATCACCAGAAAACGACTCCGAAGACGATGTCGATTCAGCCGATGACAAAGATGATGACGATGGATATGATGAGGACGACGAGGATGATGGCGATGAGGATGATTTGAACACTGAAGACAACAATGTTGAAGATGACGATGCATATGAAATTGGAAAAGACGACGATGAAGGAGATGACGACGAATTTAATCTAAATAATGATGATGAATTTAATGTCAATAAAGGTGATAAGTAATTTGTAGGCAGATATGAAGAAAGCGAAAATGAAGACAAATTTATCTTTCTTTGATCTTGCGGGCATTCGATAGTTGCATATCTTTCTGGTAGAGAAACCACAGACACTGATTCTGCATGTGTTTGGACAAATGAGGGGCTTGAGATGGAAAACATGGACATCGGACCTTGTTTCAAATTCAGGGTATATAATAAGTTTGAAAACGGCTCCGGCGGCGACGACGACGAATAGCGATCATGAAACTTCAAAAGAGGAGCAGAAAGAGTAGCGGGATTAGGAGCGGGATGAGGAGCGGGAAGAGGTGCAATGGAGGTTGCAACATGATGTTCGAAAGTGAGTAATGTTTGAGGCATTGATTTTCCTTTGAATGCCGTCGCTATTTTACGTTCTGCCTTAGGTGTTACAATATGCGTCATATCTCCGGTCGAATACGACGATGATGACGATAATGATAACGATGGGGAGATAGACATCGATGACGATGATTTATCATCTTGGCTTTCCTTATCGCCATCTTCTCCAAGATTGGTCATTTTTTTTCTCAAATGGATGCGCATGTGACGTCCAAGATTGCTTTTATAACTTGTTGCGTAGGGGCAATACGCGCAGACGAATTCCTTTTGTTGCGCATGAACGTTTGAATGTCGTTTAAGTAAAGCTCTCCGACAAAAGACGCGCTTACATTTCGTGCACGTGTAACCGAAAAGATGCGCGTTTCTCACGTGGATGCGGAACGAAGACTTGGTAGGGAAGATTTGATCGCAACATTCAAAACGTCCCTCGGGCCTCGCTCGGCTGTGCATCGTCTCGATGTGCCGCTTCAGGTTCGTTCCACGTCGGGTTGCATACGTGCATTCGCTACACCGAAAAGGCTTTCCGTTGAGGGTCATGTTATGCACTTTATAAGGTTGAGATGGTAGATTAGAATGCATATTGTTTAAAAAGTTATCAAAGTATGACGATGTTACTCAAAATTGATTTGGCGACAAAAAAAAAAAATCGTTCTTGCATCGCTAGGTTTCATATTCAAAGTGTAGCCATCTTGAAATGTCAAAATCAAAGTCAAAGTCAAACGAACGTAATCCTGTAAAGCAAGCTGTATTAATTATCTTCAACGCTCCTTTCACAAATATTCAACGCCGTCACGATCAGCTTAGACTTTGTGTTTATTCCAAGAAAAACGAGTTGTGGCGCTCTTGGGCGACTTCTACAGATGCAGTGTTTTGGAGCCGAGTTGGTTAGAGAATAATACACTCTTGATCCGACAGCAGAACAGACAGCGATGAAGCTTGAGGAGCCAGCCCGATCGGATATTGACAGCAATTCTTCATTTGATAAGATGACGCAGAGTATACAGAGGTATCCTCTTTGGAGGGTTGATTTTGAGTGAGCGATGCACTGCCGTGAGTGGGGGGGGGGGGGGGGGGGGGGGGTAAGTGAGTGCACGCGCGCTGTTGAGAGAGACTCAGTGTGCATAAGAGATACAAAGAAATGTTAAAGAGATGGAGAGAGAGAGAGAGGGGGGGGGGGGGGGGGGGGAGGTAGAGAACGAGAGAAGGGGAGAGGGTGACAATTTTTGTCAAAGAAAGAAAAATTAGTGGAAGGGAGAGACAAATGTCGTCGGAGGGGAAGCGGGGAGGGGGGGGGGGGTGGGGTACGAGAGAGAGAGAAAGAGAGAGGGAGGGGAAAAAAAAGGGGGGAGTAAGAAATATATTAACAGAGACAGAGAATACACATACAGGGTAGGAGAAATGGCGACAATTAAAGCCTTTATAATAACTGTTTTTTACATCTTTTAATCATATCCAAAAAAGACGAACATATAACTGTGTATTTTATGATCTTTGATGGCTTAACATCAAAGTTTAAAACAACTTATATACACATCATCGGAAAATTTCAAGAGCATTGAAAATTCTCACTGTAAATACTTCAAGGCATTGTCATCACAAACAAACTTAAATTATCTTCAACGTCTTCAAGTGATGTTACACAAAATCTTTAGTAGAAAGGTGAAGAACAATATATTTCGTCCAGATTCATTAAAATGTATAAATCATTTAATGTATGCTACTCAAAGAAACATTGTTTAAAATTGATATACTTGGAAATCAATAGTTAAGATGGTCACACAGAAAGTTTAAATGACAGCGACCGATCGGCAAGAGTCAATTTAAAGATCAATATATGAAAAATACTGCATAAAAAGAGAACATTTATCTTTTTAAACAGATTATGTTGCAAAAATATGCCAGTTTGAAAATGTATTTCTGATTTATAAATCAGACGATCGTAAAAAAAATGGAATGTAAATGCTAACGATTGGCAAGAGTAAAGTTGAAGAATAATGTATGATACATGTTGCATAAAATGAGAAAATCTTATCAAGCGGAAATTAAATATTGCAGAATATATCAGTATGATATTCTCAGAATCAAACAATGCAAGCATTGGAATAACTGACATTTTGGTAATAACAAACTGATACATCCGTCAACTGCTTAACTAAACGCCTCGGTCAATTAGAGTAACATGTCATGCAAAACAGAATTCAGACCGACTCCGAACCAACCAACTCTTCACGCTTGACCATCCATGGTAATGTCAAATTGGTTCGGCTTCTTTTCGGTTTGGTGTCGATCGCGTCAATGAAACTGCGGTATAAAGGAAAATTGTGTCCGTTTTTTTTTTTGTAACAAGCGCAGGAAAAACGATTACCCCTATGATCACGTAACCAAGCAATTAGATCTTTTCAAGCGCTGGTGTAGAATCTTTTGTTTCTAGGCGTTTAATCCGTGGTGTTTTTCGCCGGTTGTAACACTGTCTGAACGTCGTTGATTATGTACTTATTACCGTCACCCGCGGTCAAGAACTAGGGGAAATAATAACATGATGAAACAAATTACATTAAAGCAGTGGTTAGAAACATATGTACGTATCAATTTAATATATGTATGTATGCAATTGTTTATTTATATTTGAACTTAAATTCACATTCATAAGTGCGTCATGAATATACTTTGCTTTCAATGTAAAACAAGGAAAGGCTGCACTGCTAAAGCCAGGGTAATTACGCTGCATTATTGTAGAGCGCTTAGAGACTTCTGACAAAGTAAGTGTTAGGCGCTATATAAGCACTCTAATTATTATTATTATCGAAACATAAACTAAATCATAATGATTACATAAATCTCACAAACAATGAATCCTTAGTTGGTTGTTGTCTGTAATAGCTTATTAATGCGCTGTGAATCTTTCTCAAAACGTACCTGCCCCTTGTGAAGATCTAGACCTGGGAGCATGGGAACGTTGAGTGTGAGGACTGGAGGTGCCGCAGGGGTCTCCTTTAGGCCCTCTCCTCCTTTTTTCGTATTGGCGGACGCTGAGCCTGATGGTGTAAGTGGTTTCTGATCGCTTTGTGGTAGGAGGGTAGCGCGGATCAATTTGGTTGTCACAAACGTGGATGTTTCTTTGAGTGTGGTGATTTTCTTCTCCGTGGTTGCTTTTATAGGATAAAATTAAAAGACAACCACTCAGAAGGTGAGCATTGCAGATTTGGCTAATATGATAACTCAAAACTGAAGGAAACTGAAGAGAAAAATAGACCAAACACTATATTTTTTGACTAAAAAAGTTTTTTTGTTGTTCCTCAACCCCCCCCCCCCCCCTGAGAAAAATAAAGGATTCGGGGGGGGGGGGGGGGGTGGCATCTTACAAGATTTCCCCCTTTTCAGTAAGAAAATTGGGGGAAATAGGAAAAATACGGAAAAAGGGGTAAAATCGGGAGAAAAAAAAAAGAATTGGTGAAAAAAAAAAATCAAACAAATAATAATAATCGGGAAACCGATTTAAATCGGGTAATTATCAGGCCTGATATATCATAAAGGTATTTCTTGTTTATGGACGTTTAACAATAACTTTGGTGCAAGCATGAAATGTATTATATCGGATATCAATTCTGCACAATGCTCGTAAGAGTTACAACTATTTACATATAGTGACGTTCAACAAGAAGACGTTGATGGGAGCTATAGCGAGTATTACCATTGCTTGGCGACTCAACGTCCATACTGATAGGTTTCTTTGACGACTCAGCGAGCCGGGTGAGACTCGGACCTAATTCAGTCATACCTCCTGGTACAGGACTCTCATTTCCACCAGGTCGAAATGATGCGGCATATGCCATTGAGATGATATCGAGTGTGGGTAATACTGCTTTCACATGCTTGGTGACGTCACAGTCTTCAACGCCTGATCTAGAGCTTTCTACGGTAGAGTCAATCATTTGAGTCGATGCCTTTTGTTTAAGTAGATACAAAAATGAATATTAGAATTGGCAACTGCAATTTTATAATAAAATGGGTTTGGTTGATTATTAAAAAAAAAACATTAACAGCTTACACATAATCCACATGAGGTGTCATTTCGATTGCGTCGTTACCTACGCTAAGCAATACTGGAGCTCACTCAAATGAAGCGGTGTTTATTTCAACTTTTCCAACAATATCTTAATGACGTCACGTGCACATGATGCATCAAAGATCCCACCAGTCAATGCAGACGCAGTCCTACGTCAGGCAGTTGACGCCTCCTTATGCATCGGACTTTGAATGGACTGAACTAATTGACGCAGAGGATTAAGACCATGTAAAAAAATATACATGTTTTGCGTCCCCGCCCGCTTCCTTTTTGGGTGCCGCCTCCTTTTTTTTTTAAAGAAAAAAAACACTGCTAAATTTTTCTGACTAAAAAAACAAACAAAAACAAAATGCCGGCGGCCATCTTGAAAAATAGCCGGATTGTCAGGGAAAATGTACCGAGCGGCCATTTTGAAGAAGAAAAAAAAGGCCTCCTCCTTCCTATTTTTCAAAAAGGCAGGACGCTAAACATGTTTTGTTTTTATTTGGCCAAACGCCTCATGTGCCTGCAGCCAATGCATTTCCAACATGAAGTCATCAAGGTATAGTTACCAGTTTGTCAGGAACAGTCAGGGGAACGGCATTGACGGCGCGGGAAGCGGGAAGTATTGCATCATCATCGAAAATATCGTCACCTGCTCCTATAGACATCATCGAGCTGGAGGACATTTCAAGGATGTCGCCGCAGTCGTCCAAATCGAGATCGACGTCAGCTAGGAGATATCCCTCGGCCACTGTAACAAATAATACAAATAGTCAAGTAGCCTGAAGTGAAGACTCACAATAGCGTCCTTAGTCAAGATGTTCATCTACCTTTGCTACTCTCCACCCAGGTGTAAATTGGTACCCGATATGCTTGAGCAATAATTAATTTGATGGCTCGGCTAAATCCAGGATAATAATGTCACTATAATTATGACGGATGTGGGCGGTTTATAAATAACCGTTATCATAATAACTATTTCCAGTGCAATTCGTCACAGTACGCCTAAACCGTACTTTGTAATTGCCTTAGGTAGATTTATAGAAGAAGGTTGTTAACGTGTTATTCATGATTTTGGATATTAGCAGTATGACGTCATGAAATACATACTCGGCATGTTTACATCCATGACGTGGTTCCAGAGTGCTACTTCTTCTCGCTGGTATCGATGCACCTCTATCACGTAGAGAAGATATTCTTCATACAGAAGGTTCAGAAGATGGAACGAACCTAGACAAATAAAGTACCATCATTACCAGTATCAACATAGATGAAGGGGCACTTTGGAAGGGGGTTGACGACTCTTGCATATAAACTTTGATCTATAAATCTTACAAATGAGCGAGCAACAAATTGGCATTTTGGGGGTGAAAATGTAACTTTGTCATTAACAATTTTAATATTTCAAATAGACCCCCGCCGGCACGAGTATGACATGCATGACGGTTCCTGGAACATTGGTTAATCCCAATCTCTCCAAGATATTCTTAAATTATATCTTTTGATTCACACCTCTAGATATTTGATCACTAATGAAAACAAGGACAGGTGAGTGTATTATAAGAACTTGTGTAGATTTGCTAGATCGCAATGGAAAAAAGGCAAAGTTACACAGATCATTTTCTGTCAAAACTAATTGATAATTACTTATCCCCCCTCTCTCCCTCTCTCTCTCTCTCTCCTCTCTCTCGCTATACTCCTTCTCCTCTTCTCCCTATCCAGCCCCCTATTTACCAAAGCTGTTGGCACTTCGAAGTGTCTGATCCCTTACCCCCCCCCCCCCCTCTCTCTCTCTCTCTCTTGCTATACTCTTTCTCCTCCTCTCCCTATCCAGCCCCCTATTTACCAAAGCTGGTGGCGCTTCTAAGTGTCTGATCCCTGATGATAAGACTACAGACATAACTCCAGCCCATGAAGAACGCCCGCTCAGCTTTCTCATAATGCGCGCTACCGCGAGGGTATCCCTGTAGCCAAAAAAGGAAAGTGACACAAGGAAAGACAGTGACATAGCTACGGAAAGGAAAGGGAATCGTGGGGCAAGTGAACACAAACATGGGGAACACAGTGACATAGCTACGGAAAGTGAATCGTGGGGCCAGCGAACACAAACATGGGGAACACAGTGACATAGCTACGGAAAGTGAATCGTGGGGCCAGCGAACACAAACATGGGAAAGACAGTGACATATCTACGGAAAGGGAATCGTGGGGTCAGTGAACAAACAGGGGAAGACAGTGACATATCTACGGAATGGGAATCGTGGGGCCAGTAAACAAACATGGGGAAGACAGTGACATATCTACGGAAAGGGAATCGTGGGGCCAGTAATGGGGAAGACAGTGACATATCTACGGAAAGGGAACCATGAGGCCAGTGAACACAAACATGGGGAAGACAGTGACATACTCTACGGAAAGGGAATCGTGGGGCCAGTAAACACAAACATGGGGAAGGAGAGAATTAAAGAGGAAAGGGAAACGGTTAAAATGATTATATACATATTAAAAGAAATACGACTCGATCCCACACAGTCCAAAACAATTGAGATTTGCTTGTTAGAGTTAAGTTGTTCGAGTCAGTTAGGTTACACATGAAATGGGTTTTAGTTGAGTTAAGGTTTAGGGTTACCGTTAGGTATTGTTTTTGATCCAGGATTTTCAGGTAATAATTCTTTTAGTGTAGAATATGGACCACGGAGCATTTGTTGCTGCATGGAGAGTGCCATGCAATCTCATATATACCAGTCAGGTAATTACAGGTGTTACTATGGCTAAGGTTAGGCATCTATTCATGTACACACCTTCTCTACGTAGAATGAGCGGACCTCTTCAACCCACTTGATGTGATCTTCGACGGTAGCACGAGATTCCAGTAACTTTTTGAACGAGTCCATATCTATATGGTTGTCAAGGAAAAGAAATCAGCCATAGTTGTTTCTCAAACGATTTACAGTTAACAACTAATTTATTAAAACCCTTAAAGCCCCCACTACACTACTTATAACTACTTGCGCCTTCTATATAGCAAACAATGCCTAATCGGTGCCTGTTGGTCCCCCATGATCCTCTTTTCTTATGTTAATTGAAAGCTGATTTGATGAGATAACCACCTGTCAGGGACCTTGCAGGGAGAAAAGACCTTGTCCCCTTGAGCTTATTCCCCCCTAGCCGAACGAGTGCAGACGGGCTTTAAAAAGTTTAGTATTTTTTAAAAAGAATTTATTGAAAATTGATTTGTCTCGATTTATGTTCAGTGAGAATTCTATATATTAAAGCTTATATCTAAAAGTATTTAACAAACGCCCTAATTCATCTAGTCTACCTTTATTCTTAAGTTATGAAGAAAACATAAAACGCATAAAAATGTCAAGGATTGAAGTTGTTAACTTATATAGATCAGTTAGACAAAGAAACCTTTCCAGCAAGGCAGGAATTCTCAAATAAAAAACGATAGTTCTTGCAGTGTATTAGTTTCTTACATTTAAAAAAAAAAAGAAAAGAAAAGAAAAAAAAAAGTGCTCATAAACAAAAGAATGTTTGTGAACATAATCATGCTAATCTTATATATGATATACCAGAACCAGGAAAAAGCAGAGGTTGAGAGACCGATGGTGTAACGACTCCAATATACAGTTGGAGATCGTTCGGTTAATATCTACTGTAGATCATTCTTATCTTCGATAACATTTACATTTATCTCCATTGAATAACGAGTCTCTTTCAGAGGGTGTTGGTTTTGGTTCTGTAATAATTTAATGGCGCCTCATGCATGTGTAATCCCCCCTCCCCCAATCCGTGAACGGAGGGATACCATGCGTGTTCCCAAAATGTCCGGTAAAGGGGTACTTTTCAGGCGCCAAAGTCCGGTTCGTAGTACACAAAAATCCGGCCCGTATTGACTTTACACACCGGACTTAGGGGGGTGTTTTCAAAAGGAGGGAACATGCATATGCGTACCCCAAATAACACTGAGTGGGGGGGGGGGGGGGGGGGGTGTAATACTAACGAGCACGGATATCCCCATGAATGAGTCCTTTCATCTCAGGCATGGTCCATATGAGTTGAGAACAGGCCGTATCATGTTCTGTACGCCTTTCCCAATCCAGACGCATCTGTGTGATAGTGATATCCACTGCTAGGGCACTTCGGCTTGCCTGTGGGCCGGGAGATGGGCCAGGAGGTGAGAAAGAGGAGTGGTTGAAAGGGTGGCAAGAAAGAAAGTAGGACGCTTTAGCAACGCGACGGAAGGCAAAGAGGACGGGAGAATTCACTCGACCGAGATCAAATAATGTATGCAGTTCGGAATCTGTCTATTGAAATACTATTATTCTTATCAGGTGAATGAAATAATTTGTATTGAGGCACTTCACAAAGACTTATGCATTAAATTTGGATACATTACGAAGATCGTCTATTGTACGGTAATACAACTCTTCCGTCGAGTTTAGGGAACGAACGCTATTATGGCTGAGAACGGTCGTGAAAATCAACAAGACAGAGAAAATTCTGGTTCGCACATGCGCAGATTATGTTGTTCGGTTACCCTCGTCTTTGACTTCCGTCGTGTTTGCGGAAGCGCTCTATATACAGGTTACAAATGAAGACGGGAGCATAGTACAGGACGATCTCGGTTGAGTGATTTCTCCCGTCGTCTGTGTTTCCGTCGCGTTGCTAAAGCGCCCTAGTGACAGCTTGGAAAGAGGACAAGGCTCATTATTCTGATGATTCCTATTTCCGAAAGAAATATTGGTTCCAAGCATTTGGAGAAAAAATAATAATAGTGGCTTCTTATACAGCGCACATGTCTGTTAAACAGTAACGCTCCAGGAGCGCCAATATTAACAATGACTAAGGGGGGGGGGGGGGTAACCTTAGAAGAGAAGAAGAAAAAACCTTTGGAGTAAGGCACCAAAAGTGCGGAATTACTTGTATGAACCTTACTTCGTTTCCGGAGTAATGAAGTCCTGGAAACCGTTTCACAAAACTTGTTATCAATGACAAATCACAGTCTTTGTTATAAGCTACTGATTAAATCCTTGCTTCTGATTGGTTATAAACAGATTTGTCACTGATTTTTGTACAGACAATGTTAACCATACATTACCAGGAAAATATGAAATACATGTAGAGGAGTTTTCTTTTCAATTTTGAACATGGCATAAACTAAATACCGTACATTAACATACGTTAAATTACATTAAACAAAGTTATAGAGATAAAAGAAATTTGAAAGTATAAGAGAGATAATATACTAAAGAGGGAAAAACGTGATATAGGAAAACGTTTCGTTTAAAGGAAATAATATTTACCTGTGCTAGATGTGCAAGGGATGTTTTCCTCTTCAAAAGGCGTGAAAATCGCTTCATAGCTATGAATATGTAAGCAAGAAAACAACAAGAGTCATTCAGATAACCGGTAGATGATGATCTATGTCAACCGTCAAAAACATAGTGGTAAGGTTTACCACTTCTGTGCCTGGTTTATAAAGAGATAGTAATCGCAATTTATTTGCGATTACATGTATAATGAATCGCAATTTCTACAGTATGTACATACGAGATAGGAGACTGCAAACTTCTGATTGATTCTGATCAATGGCAACTCTTTATAAGACGGGGCCTAGACGTATGGCGCCCAAACATGCACAGATATACCCTCGGTCTCGCCGTCAAGCAAAACAAGTTAGTTTATATCTGAGGAGATTCCTCTATACAGTGTAAACTTAGGAAATGTGATATGAGCATTGTAGCATTACATTTTACTTGCCACAACTATTATGATGCAATGTATTTTTTGCATGTGTATGCTAGTCAAATGTTCTTGAAATAAACATTAGAATTTCGCATGGTGCTATGTAGATCTGGGCCCCGTCTTACAAAGAGTTGATATCAATCGCAACTAGGTACAAAGAGATAGGATACTTTAAACTTGCGATTGATTGGAGGACTTGCGATTGATTTGCATCGATCGCAAATCTTTGTAAGACGGGACCCGGGTCGATGAATCTTTTTTGTTTAACACCTTACCTGGCATTTTGCTGTGCAACAGTTGATCTGGGAAAGATTTGAGAACACTTTGCTTTATTTGAGGAACTTCGTGAGAGAAATGTCGAATACCTTGCAACAAGCTGGAATACAAGAGAAACACGACAGCGCTATTTTTTTTTCTCTCTCCGCTCAACAAGTTTATCAAGTTGATTGAAGCCTGACTATCTCTCTGCCCCTAATCCATACATCCATCAAACAAACAATCAAATAAGTGTTAGAGAGTATACCTGCTTACCATTCACAGCAAAAATGAAAAATCTCTGCAGGCAAAATTAAGAATAGTCTATTTTGTATACTTTTCACACAGAACATTTCAGAAAAAGAAACGAGTCTAGAGTTCAAAACAGTTTCTCGAGACCAAAAATAGGAATCATTCCTCCCAAATAGGAATGGTTGGCAGCTATGAGAGAGCACCATATGACTTACTTAATCAAAAGAATGTAATGTTTGAAGAATGACAAGTTTAGATAGATAATTTTGTCGTTTTAATGAATAAACATTGTGTTACAAGAGAAAACATTTTATAAATTTTCCTTGATGTACAATTAATGGGTATTTTTTAAGTTTGTGATCGTATCGGTATGTTAATCAGAGGTTATAATAATAATATTGATAACAATAATAGTGATAATAATAAACTGATAATAAAAACATAACTTGAGCTAACTTGAGCTAAATAATGCCGGATATCAAAAAAACAAAAACAGAGTATGTATATCCTCGCCACATCTTAAATTTCAATTTTGGGTGTCACGGATAAAGATAAACGATTTTATGACCCTGATCACATTGACTGCAACACACCATACCACCGCTTGCAACAAATTTAGAACATACGATCGATCAGTCGTGGGCTAGGGGCACTTGGGACAATCGTACATTTTTGTGCAACCAGGTCCGGATGCGTACCTTTGTGGGACAGTGTTAAGAGTGCCAGGAATGAGCACGGACACAATGGTGTGGTAGAGGTAGGTATCACAGACAGCCAAAGCGTCGCACATGGACGGGATATCAAGCAGACGTCGCTGCCCAATTGGCAAGTTGTCCCAGTATGTTTGGCAATAGTAAACAACCTGTTTGGGAATAACAAATACATATACGTATCAAATAACCTTTCACAGCAAAAATTAGGAGTCTCTCATGGCAAAGTAAAAAAACAAAAACATAAATAAATAAATAATATGTCTTGTTTACCCAGGGTAGCCTCATCAGTATTTATACTGTTCTCCCTGAGGACCCTGCAATCATATTATTACCCCGGTCATCGGATTCAGGCTTTCCCGCACACAATGTATGCACATTCTCCACTCTCTTGGGAGCATTCCAGCCAGGCGTCATTTTTACAAGCGCACAATTGCTAATCTAAGCACATTAGCTTTCGCATCCTACTATTTTGAATTTTTTTCACACAGAATATTTCATTAAAAAATAGAGGAATCCCGGGTTCAAACGAAAAGCTTGAAGAAAAAAAAATGGTTGGTAGCTACGATATCACAGCCTGAAGAGAGAAAATTTGTTCCACCATTACGTTTTTAATTTTGTTTTGAGTCTCTTTTTAAATCTCCTCCGTCGCAGAACAATATCTTCTCCTACATAATTATCTAAGTACTGGTATATGTGTAAGTCAAACGTAAATTATTTACTGTGTCAATTACAACTAAACATGATTCATTGATTTATTGTGGCCTAATTGTGCAGTTTTTATGCTATTACCTGTACAGTCAAATATGTGCGTGATATCACATGCAATCTATTCTCCACATTCTTCTAAACTAAGTTTTATAAGATTGTACGCATACTAGGCTTATAGACATGATTATAAGGCCTATATTTAAAGAGGGAAAAAAGGGATTCAAGATTGAACGTTCTATGTCAATCTGCATGTAAAAACACAATGCCACTGGGTATTTCATAGAAAGGTCTGGGCTTACATTAATCCAAGGCCACCAAGGCCATGGCCGTGGATGCCCTTTTGATTGGCTTCAATGCCCCTCTCATTGGCCTTGGAGATTTTGTGTGCCCTTTCCAATTCTTCCTATTGGTGCTGTAATATATGAATGTGCCCTACAAAAAAAGTGGCCTTGCCCTAAAAATATTGAAATTTAAGGCCCGAAAGGCCATACAGTATGATCTGCAGTAGATAGTAACTTGTTAACTCATACATTGATATGGTAGCACTAATAGTTTTCTTTCCTTTGATCTCTCTATATCATATCTCTTTCTCTGACTTCACATCTGTGTATGGACCCACTGATTGAGTCGAGTCAAGGTAGTGATTATAAACAATCTACAGTAGATGTCAACATGTTCATGACTGGATACATATCAGTCTTTTTTTCTTTCTTTTTTCATACCTCATCGAGTCCTCCTCTCATAATGACCTCCAGAATGATAGCACAGTGAACCCTGTAGTCTTTTAGAAACTCATCCACCTTGAAAATTTGACCAGAAGTAGAAGAATTAGATACACGAATACGTACATCTATGTGAAACGCTTTTCAGCTCAGGTCAACCGAGATATCAAAAGGGCTCTTTATAACGACTCAACTAAATTAGTCTTCTGATCACCAATTACCAATCTCGCCATCTTCATGGAACCTCGAACATTTTATCTTCTCTTTATAACCTGTGATCTTTGATCCCTGACCCCCCCCCCACCCCCTCTCCCAAAAGATCAAATCATTTTAAGTATAAGTTAGTCGTCATTCAACTCAAATGCCACTACGCAGGTGTAGGCAGTCCATGATTAGAAGTTTAGAACATATATGAAAATCAGATGATTATTTCTTTCTTCCTTTCTATTCCGTGTGCATTGGTTTGAAACAAGAGTTGGTGAATATTGAAGACAAACAAACACTTTAATGGAAAGAAAAAAGACTAAAGAATGAAAAGGAAGTAACATAGTTACGTACTTGATGATGGTCAACGTCGTGTGGGAGATGAATGAGTTGATGAGACGTGGGGAAGGATGGCAGCAGTGAACTGCTTGCTGACTGCATCAATGGTGTAATCGGTAGGGTGGGTTCACGCTAACACACAAAGGATCATAAAGGAGGTAGATGATAGAAACACGTGTGAGAAAAGAATACAAGATGGTGGATATATTGGAATAAAGTATCCTATAGATTAAAACAAAACATATAACGGAGACATCGTTTACAAAGTGATTAATTTGCTGGCTTCGAGCTCAAACCTATTGGCACGAATCCACAATGGAGTTTTTCGACAAACCTAGGTTTATGTGCGTCATAATGACGCACATAAACCTAGGTTTTGTCGACAAACCTCCTTGGGCCGAAGAGTTTATTTATGTAATGTATGTAAAGTGACTTCTAGAATGTTATAATCTGTAATAAATAGAATGGTAAATATATCTTCATAGCCTTTTTATCTAAATTCATGAAGACAAATAAGAATACAAATACAAACTTTCATACGTTTGCGTTTGCGGTAAAGCCCTTATCAGGTGTCTTCTGTCCTATGACTTTCTGCAAAGTGGCGGACGAGACGCTCTTTCCTCTGTTGCCCATACTGCTACCAACAGTACTCGCTTCTCCTTCTCCACACTCTCCACTCCCTCCTTCACTTTTCCCAGTACTTCCCAAAGTTCCACCTGTACACATCGACTTCTGACTTTGACCAACGATGTCGGCAGATATCTTCGACGATGTCGTAGGCGTTATTGAATGCGTGGGCGAAGGCGTCATCGAACTGAAGGTCTTGGCCAGCCATTGACCACTGGTAGGGCACGGGAGGGACATCCGCTGAGAGGCGACGAGGGTGGAGTAATAGGGCGAGTCACAGCGGACTTTGATGCCGTAATAGTGGTATTTAGACTGGCCGCGGGTCCCAAGGCGCCGCGTTCGGATGTCTGGGAAGACTTGACGTATGGTCTGCAAATGACCCAAACAAAGAAATTATTTAATGATTTATTCATCATTCGATATGTTTCATCTCTCCCATACAACAACAACAACAAAAAATACTAAAATGTCAATTTGTAGAAATGTAATTTTCGGTTTATTTTCTTTGGTTATATATTTTGGAGGACCTTTAAGAACAGGCCTTCCAAAATTCATTAGCTGACGACCCCGAGGTAAATGGAGTTCGGGGAAAAAATATAGAAAATTGGTTACATTTTAGTGAACATTAAATAGGGGTTGTCAGTTCATGTCATAACGTCAATGCGGTATATTCAACTGACTGACCAATCACCAACGTGAGATTCGCATATATAGATTTAGTTATTTTAGCTTTCATTTGTCTGTTACCCTCCAAATATGTAGCAAATATGTTTTCTAAATTTTCTTATTTCACAAAGTTCTCTGGTTTCAAAGGCAGGACCACCCTTTGTTATGTACCTTTCCAAAGCTAGCTGCATTTACTGGCTGTAGAACATTTCTCTGACAGAAGTCCAGGTAATGCTCATAGATGAGACAGCGTGGAAGGGAATAGCCCTGAGATGCCTCATAATTCTGCATCAACCTGAAAAGAGGAGGATGAATTTAGTTGGGTTTTCATTTAATGTATTTGAGTTGAGTTTGAGTAGGGACTCAGTTGAATGTGAATTGAGTTGAACTTGAATTTCAGTTTAAGTTTCGGCTGAGATTGAGATTGATGTATCGTAATCAACTTAAATAAAAGGTATTACAAAGTTTTGGTATGGGGTCATGAATTTGGTTCAAATGAACATATTGGAAGCATATGCGATTATACAATATTCAATGATCGTTGTCGAGGTTGAAACCGAGTCTAAAGTGATGAAATCGTAGATAATAAACTCTTTATGTTGTATAGCGCCCTCTCAAGAGAAGACTGACATTACTTCAGCTCTAAAACAATGTTTACTAATTAAGATTGACCGATTTACTATTACCGTTTGGAAATTATATATTAGAACTGGCCGGGAGCACCGGTAAATTTTTGATTATTCAATTTCTAGAATGCAGAAGAGTTTTAGCGGCTAATTTTTCTATTGCTTATAATACATCCACAGGGGCATCCAAATATATCAAAATTGTAAAGAATTACTTTCAATCCAATTTTCGAAATTTTCCCCCAAACTTTGACATTGATTCTATACGATGTCATCATAGTAATACCTTACAAAGCAGATTTCATCAAACATGAAAGCAGTAGCCTCCTAACCTTTGTTACGAATGTTTAAAACAAGAATTTATGTACTTTTGATCACCAGAAATTGTGTTTATTTCCAAAAAACCCCAAGATGTACTGAGAGTAGCACACAGATGTATATACAGGGGTGGAATAGTTATACCCTTAAGCTGAGCGAAAATTCACTTGACTTTCGTGCCAAAGTGAATTTATTTATAAGCTTAATCTCCCCAACCCTTTCTTTTTTGTAGAGGTGCCGTGGTAAAGTTGATACGTCACCGGAATGTGGATCATAAAGTCCGAGGTTCCGAGTCCCGACGCGGCACTAATGTCCTTTGATCTATATTTGCCACACTCAACCAAGGTGATATAAATAGGTACCGTAATGGCAGCCATGCTAAAGCCAGGAAAACAATAATTGTGGAGCGCCAGGAGTGTCAAGTCTGACAGATGTAAGCGCAATATACAAGAACCCAATATTATTATTATTATTATTATTATTATTATTATTATTATTAATCTATCTGAGTCGAGCCAATTATAATCGTACCACGAAAATGTAGTTGCAGACTGTCTGCTATTCTGTATCATCACTTCTTCCATAGCGGCATCATGAAGTCCTTCCTCACTGCCTTCTCTTACTAGAACATTGCTGGGAGTAGATCCTGTATAGTCGACTATTCAAACAAATAAAACAAACCCAAGATAAATTATTATAAAAACAAGTAATCCTTTAACTGTATTTTTCTTTTTCAAATGCTTTTCTTGACTATATACATATATAGCGTGTCTGTTTTTGTGTAAAGGCTTATTCATGTTCACTGTTGCCTATAAAGTTGGAATTATATTTCATTACCTCTGTTCATAAATTGAATGAGAGAATATGATTTATTATTGAGAGATAAAGTTTTAATATTATCAAAATTTCATTGGTCATTCGTAGCAGTCATAGACTATAGAGACTGTTTAATTCAGTTCTGAGAAGATATAAACCAGATTCTCACGATTATTATTTCATGAAAAGGTGTGAGTACAAATTATTCTAACTGTATTGGCAACAGCGCATGTGTTGAAACAAGTTGAATCTCTACGGATATCCCCTTTTGCTTGAAAATTATTCGATCCCCTTAAGAAAAAAAATGTATTAACGCATGATATAAAATCCACACCAACGTTTAATTTGGTAAATGTTTTAGGGTAATAATAGCTTTCTTTTTAAGTAGATATAGAAATGAAGAAGAAAACAAATGTGAATGTGTCGTACATGTAGACTCTACATGTCATTAAATAACTTATTATTTTCATTTTTGTGTCAGAGAAAGAAACGACAAAATACAATCGGCAATGAAAGTGATAGAGATCTAGGCAATGTAGAAAAAGAGAATTAAATGACTTTCACATACTTAGTTCGCCTTGGGCTTGGGCTTGGTCGGTACGAGTTAGACTCCCAATACCCTTGGTACAGATATCATGTAATGTAGACGCATTGAGCATTTCACCTTTCAATTGGTCCATTGTTTATTCTGCTGTCTGGAATTTAAAGGCAAAACCAATAAGGCAATAGGAATCTAGATCTACCAAAACCAATATTTACCTAATGTAGACTTAAGATATTTATCTTAATTTACCGAGGAAGTTAAATAAAATAAGTAGCGGTCTAAATATATCTGGTAGTCAGTGGTAGATAATGTTTAAATATCATATATCATTATGTGCAATCATCAGACATTTGTTTTCAGACGGAGACTATTATCAAATTATAATGTTATTATAAGGTCTGCTAGATTTTGAAATTATATTTTTGTTTTTTTAATGTTAACTAGTCTAGGCCTACACTGTCGCTCATATAGTTGGAATAGATCTATTTCTTTTTTACCCCAATTTATGGAATTATTTTGACAATGATTTATTCCTAATAGATCTAGATAATACTAGAGTCTAGTATACATTCTCAGATTTTATTAAATAACAATTTGCCAGTGTTTATGTTGGAGAAACTGTCAAACAACTCGTGTGCGCGACAACAATAACATGCATTTCTCAAATACGATTGTGTTCATCTGGCTTGATATTGAATCAAACACCAACTTCATATTCCATATTAGTCTAATACTAGTATCAGTTCACTCTCACTACCACTTTACCAATTCTAATGATCTGACCAGACCCTTACGTTTGTTTACAGCGGTAGAGCCCGGTAGTAGAGAGGGTCTAGATCCAACTATAGATCTAAAGTTAGATCTAGGCTCCTAGTCTAGGGTCTAGTTAGTACTAGATCTAGTAGTACCGCCGTTCTCCGAAGCCAGTGGAGGAAAGACAAACAGAAACAAGAGTAGGGACTAGATCTAGACCTAGACTAGACTATATCTAGACCCTATAGATTTCTAACCCTGTTCAGGCGCGTACGCAGGGGGGGGGGGGGGGGGGGGGAGTTGGGGTCGACCTTTGCCGGCTTTGGGGTCGACGGGGTCGACCCCCTTAATTTTTTTTTTGTGTGTGTTTTAATTAAAAAAAAAAAAAAAAAATAGATCTAGAGTCTAACTTAGATCTAGATCTAGATAATCCTAGATATAATGGGTGACCTAAAGAAGGTGACCTTACCCCCACCCCCCCCCCCTCCCCAACGAAATGAAATGTCGATCGGTCAAATTTTCAAATTTTGGGACAAAGTCAAAAAGAAGAAAAAAATGTCTTCTTATCTTATAGATCTAGTCTTAGTCGAAAATAAATTCTCAAGCCGCGCGTTCGCGCGCACGACAAGCATACGTACGAATTTGCAGAGCGCATATGTGCTAGTGCTAGTAGTGCAGCGCTAGCGAAACAAGACTAGACAAGTAGCGCAGCACAGGAAACCGATACAGTAAACTGGGTCTAATCTACATTTTACTCACGAGATTATTATGAATAAGTTTTTAGTTTTTAGTTTATTCTTAATTCAAAACTATGCCCATTAACACCATGATTTAATGAACGGCAAATAAATTTCTCCTTATAATATAGGCCCTAGGTCTATTTCTACTGTTACACTATCTAGACTAGAGTAGGCCTAATGGCTAATCACAATTAGCCTAATTATCTCACTCACACATTCACAAGATCAAGATACAAAATGACTGGTGACGTGGGCAGGATCACAGCAGGCGTCTCTACTTTCATCCGCTGGAGGCCTAAATCATATTTGCTTCTGTCAAGCAGAGTATCCGTCTTACATACGAGTATCTTTCATACAATAACAAACTGTAAAACGCAGTGTCGACTGGTGAAATCTAACTGAAAACAAGATTTTTGTTAAGGTACAAAAGACCATCTGCAAACTTATTTAACGTTCACGCGGATCGGGATATTATTACTCGATATCGATCGATATCGATCAATATACCGGATGCGCGCCAGCGCAGCATGCACAGAACGCTCAATAATTAACTAATCATACCAATACAAGGAGTTTTAAGAGATGGAGTCATAAGCTACCTCATTCCCTTTGTACCATCTTCGATGCCTCGAGCTATGACGACAGTGAGTATTCAGCCATGTCAGCTGAAAACCCAACCCCACCCAAAACAAAAACACGACAGAAAAACAACAGAAATGTGCAAAAAAGAAAACAGAAAGCAACAACGAAAGCTCGGAAGAAGTAAGTGAACTAAGACGTGCATTCGTTATAGTTACAAGAATACTGACAAAGCGAGAAAAAATCATGAGAGAAATCATATCGTATAGTAGTAGAATGGTTTTTTATTAGACAACTTCAAAATGGTAGCCCGAAAGCTAAATTACATTGCAAGTTTTACATGTATTAAAAATCATTTCAACAAACTTAGATAATATGGACAAGTACACATAATACACAGTCGGTTAGATCATAACTAATTACATATTCCCTACTTACAAACAAATTGATGAAACAAATAAAATAGATTCGGCGTTACTTTTTTTCTGTAATCATTGTTAAGTGAGGAATATTCATATTTTAAATATAAATTGAGGCTGATTAATGGAGTTATAACAAGTAAGTACTGACGATTTGTTTAACTTCGAACCGTAATGCACATTGAATGTCTATAAAGCTACACAACATATAAGGATTTATCATAGAAACATGATTAAACAATTACCGAAAGGGAGAGAAAAGGTTAGGGAGAGAACGATGTAGAGAGAGAGAGTTAAGTTAGAAAGAAAAACAGGAAGACATGCGGAAGATGGGAGAGGGAGAGGGAGATAGGGAGGGAGTGGAATCTGAGAAGAATGGAACAGTTGGAACTGTGAAGACATGGAGAAGCGGAATGATGATGAAAGTAAGACAAGGAAAAGGCGATTAGAAAGAAATTACAAAGTAAAATACAAAGTTTCCCTTACAGAGAAAAAGAGTACAATTTACCAATCATGCATTACTAAGACAATAATATAATATATGCGTAAAAACTTTAAATATGTAAAGACATAGAATGTACATGGGAACGTGCGTAACTATAAAAAATATATTCACTAATTAATCAGTTTGACAGTTAAAAACACAAGTGTATCCATTCATTACAATGTGGATTACATGCACTAATCTTTATGAGTTGATGGGTATAAAGTTGAGCAGTATTAAAAGCAACAAAAGGCATACGATTTGAATAAGAGGTGTGGAATCGGGCAGGAATCAGGGGAATTTATGCGTTGTTGAGTAACCTGCATGGTGAGATATGGGACTGGGCTTTTCCTGTAACGTTCTGTTTTGGACTTAGGTTCTATACAGATACGTGATTTCCGTGTGTTTCTGGTGCTGGCGTTCAGTTTAAACCAGTCTGATTGGTCGGATTTTAGTGCTTTCAGGGCAAACTTGAGACATAGCTCTTCTCGGCGAGCATGGAGAGTTTGAAGCTTGGTCATTGATAGGGCATTTGAATAGGATATGTAATATCTACCTAGTATAATTCTTAATGCCCGTTTTTGAACATTTTCGATCTTGTTGGACTGGGCGATAGTCAATGCTCCGTTCCAGGCAGGGCAGGCATATTCGAGGAGTGGTCTTACAAATCCTATGTAAACTGTAACGAGGTCGTTGGTGGGGGGATAGAAGGCTTTCAGGGATCTTAACATGAAAATGCGGCGGTTAGCACGAGAAACCGTATCCGAAACCTGTACATTCCACTTCAAGGTGTCTTCAATGGTTACTCCAAGGATTTTCACACTGCTAACCTCGTTCAGGGGGACATTATCAATAAGTACTCCTAGTGGGGGTAGTTGGACTTTACTGAAGGACAATCGCATGATTGAACACTTCTTGGTGTTGGGTTTAACGTAATTGTTCTGGCACCAATCTTCTAGTCTGAAAGAGTGGATAGTGAACGGGAGATATCACGTGGCTGGTTGCGTGCATCGTGCGAGGCGGCAATGGACAAGTCATGTCGTCGACGTACTTCCAGTGACTCGTTGATGAAGAATCACGCATTACATCATCAATAAGGGCCAAGAATACAACAGGACCTAGGCGTGTGCCTTGTGGGACGCCAGCATGAATCTTCTTCCAGGGCGAAAGTGAACCATGGTAACGAACACAGGTTTGGCGGTCGGTCAGAAAATCGCAGATCCAAGGAAGAATCGAATGGCGGGCACCAAGATCAATAAGCTTCTTAATCGCGATAGTGTGGTTGACCCGATCGAATGCCTTGCTGAAGTCGGTGCATACTACGGTAGTGGCAGTTCTTGGTGCCTCAGCTGATTTAGCAAGGTAGTTGATTAGGTCGACGATGCAAATGGTAGTTGAGAGGCTCGGTCTGCTTCCATATTGGTGTTTGTCCAAATGAGGGTTAATGTCGCGTAACAGAAGCTTGGTTATAAACAACTCAGCAATTTTAATGGAAAAGTGGTCGGTGAGGGATATAGGCCTCGATCAGTTTATCCAAAGTTGCAGATGTAGGACCTTTAGGGATGGGGACAATTATTGCCTGTTTCCATTGGGTTGGGACCTTGTTATGTTGATAGGATGCATTTAGTATCCCTGACAGGGGAATTGAGAGTTCGCAAGCAAATTCCCGAACGAGGCGTCCAGGAATGCCGTCAGGGCCGCTTGACTTGCCAGGCTTGATCTTCTTCAATTCACTCATGACTTCCCACGGTTGAACATGTGGGGGCGGTGTTTGGGCTGGCAGGTACGATGGTAGGTCTCTCAAATGTAGTTCGGGGATATCAGCGTTAACATTTGCAAAGAATTCATTAATGGCGGTAGCTATTTTCACTGGGTCATTGTCTTCAACAGTCGGAACTCGGATTATGTCTGCTTGCGAATTTGAATGACCAGACATGACTTTAATGTTCTTGTACCAAGATAAGGGGTTATCGCTCTTAAAGGAAACCTAAACCCAAAGAATAAGTGTAGGTATTCTGAAAAATGAGATGTATTCCTGCCCTTTGATGTACAATATTCCTTACGAAAATGTACAAGATATATATAATGAAGATATTCCTGGCATGATGTGATGCCTTTCAGCATGATATGGGCGCAGCCATTTTCTTGAAAATGTGACGTACCTGTTGAAGTTGTACATGTATCATGCACCAAGCTTTAGTTGGAAAGA